GAGCGCTTTTTGCTCTCGTTTCACAAATTGTCTTTTGCTCTGATGAATTATCCTTGGCAGGACCGGCTTGCAGATGTCCAAACGACGCTCGCTAATTGAAACATATCATAATGCAAATGCCAAATTTGCGGCCCTAATTAATGCGATTTCGAAACCGCTTTCACTTTTCGGCGGCGCTTTTTCCGCTCGTTTTTCAGGAGAGAAGCGAAAATCCCGCGGCTGTCAGGAGCGTTTTTAGCACCGTCCATAGATACGGATAATAATGACAATAATTGCTGGAAATTCAAAACGCGAGACGAGACAGCGCTAAGGAGCGCATAATGACTCGTAATGTGCATGTCGGACCAAAATAATTGAGAAATTAACGTTCGGCAAACCGATTTGCGTCCATCACCTCGAAGCGTGTAAAAAATTATTAAATTTTTCTTTCAAGTCGGAAACCTTTGACTTTTCAAAGAGAATATGAGCATGCTGACCGGTGCTACGTATATATTTTGTAACGATTTTATACGTTTTTCAGTCTGGCGGCGAGAAACCCGTTTTAATGACATTTTCACCCGGATGATAATTAGCTAATGAATGCCGCGGCACTGCACCGATAATTGCGTCTTCATGATTCTAAATCCAACTAGCCGTGTGCTTTTTGTGCGTGCGCTTAATTATGCAAAAGTGGCGGAATGATTGCATAACGCTGCTCCACATTCTTTATGGCGCTTTTTGCGCGCGCACGACGAAATAAAATCTCGTCGCTCGGCAAGGTCTATTAGAGAGAGGGTTTATATTTTTGAGTTTAGTCACGATCTTTATTATATACTCAAAAGTTTTTGTGTACTTTTCGCCTCCTCGTCAGCGAATCTTACCGAATTCAAGTGATGAATTTATTGACCGGTGCGGATTGGATCTGCCGATGATTCATACGTAGACTTTCTATAAAATATCAGTAGAGTGCAATTAAACACCTGCTTGTGTCGCGCCGCGAGTTACATTATTTCTCGGCGGGGCCGGCCTGGGCGTTTGTTATTTGAATGTCCGTCTAATTATTTCAAACAGAAATCGAGTGTGCACGGTTATCTAACTGACAAGTTTGCATCACAAATGTAATGTACTTGAGGACTGGAACCAGGTCAATGGATATTTCTGTTCGAACAAAGGCGAAATGTTTTTCTAGGTTGGTCAAAAATATAATAATATGCGAGTTGAACCAGATTGCATGTAATCTTGATCTCGATAATTGTTAGATTTTTATCTATCTAGAAGTTTCAGAAAATCAGGTGTCTTTGAACTCTCGGAGTTGTATGCAAAACGGCGAAAATTATCCTCCAACTTGATTATTCTTTAATTTTATAATTTAAATTTATATACTAGGGGGGCGTGTGTGATTGTATGTAAATGTAGCAGTCGACGGGCTGGCTGGTTGAGGCGGCCCGCCGCATTACTGGTGCAAGGACATCCAGTCTACGCAAGGTGGCTCGACTCGACGGAGAGAAGCAAAATAAAGCACAGGTTGTCTGTGTGTGACCTCTAACAATGAATGGGTCAACAATTGGTGCATTGAACGCGGCGCCGCCGGCTCATGTTTAGCTACCAAAAGATGCAAAGATAAAGAAAGAGTAAGGTGGTGGAAAAAAATCCCACTAGCTAACAGTATGTGTCGCCAGCCTTGGACGGATAATTACAATTAAAACAAAAAGTGCACATAATCGTGATTTGAATCAATCTTTGGGTGGGGCGACTAAACTTGTTTCTCCCGAAGGTAAAAAATATTGAACTTTGAATTTTTTCTTAGAGACAATAATCAGCGTCAATCAAACCGAACCTTGAAACCGCAATTTCTTATTTTAATTTCAATTTAAAATTTTTAAATTATTTTCTGGCTGGAGTTTTCTGTCCCTTCCATAGATTCAAAATAAAATTTAGGGTCTGGTAATTTTTCACAGTTGGCGACCGTTCATAATTTTATTGCCGGCTAACACGATCACGCGAGCCAGTTACGGTCGATTTCCAGAAATATAACGCAAACTGACCATGAAATCAGCGAAATTAGCGAAAGAAAGTTGTCGCAATAATGAAAATTCTTCAGTACAATGCAGATCCGAAATAATAGAAAATTCGTTTTACTTTCGAATGGCCGCTGGCTATTTTTTTGGGCGGCAATTTTTCCTCGCCAAAATGATATTATTCCAATTCAACACACCGGCGTGGCCTTTCGCAAGATTGATTTAAAAAGGCTTTGTAAGGCAACTTTTATTAATTCGACCGCAGCAATATCGCCAAGGCCGCGCACATGTGCCGCCGCGCCTCTATCAAAGCAAAAGTACGTGGTCCGCTCGTTAAATCTGCATGACCAGAGAAGCTAATTATCGCTGCACCTGCTGCTGAATGTGCTACTAATTGGTACGAAATCACGTCGGTTTCCTGCCCACAATTAAAACTCAAAAGCGACTATCAATCTAACGCTCCAGCAGCAGCAGGAACTTGATAACAAAAATATGTTTCCGAGAAGCAAAAAGTTCACCTTGACGGAGATGATGAGGCCGAATCTCTTTACTACCGATGCGAGTGCGTAGGGAAAAAATATCTTTGTCGGCGGCAATAAGGCAGTGCAAAAATGCCTTTGAAAGAAGGACGGATGCCGAGAGAGAGAATTCGCGAGGCAATAAAACGTGCAGAATTTGATATAATTACGCCGGCGTTTGCCGAAGGTCGGCGCACTTAACCCTTGAACTGCGTGGGAAAATCGCTTCGGCGAGCAAATTGCGGCGATCCGTCATTTTATTCGCGGTTGCCAAAAGCTCGGAAATCGACCTGTACCCGTAGGAAAAGGTAAAGCAATGATATTCCAGCCAAAACTGGCGCAAGGTCTCCTTATATTGGAATAGTTAAAAAGCATTTCATTTATTACCAACGGAAACCTTGTTTAAATTTTAAAATCAAAGTAAAAGAACATAATACAAATATCTGTTCAGACTTGAATTTAAATATAAATTTTTATTCATTTAAAAAATTAATATATTTTGATAAATGCATTGCATGAAACTGAACTTTAATAAATTATAATTTATCTGGAGCGTGGAGTTCGATGGCCGATGATGCGAGTAAACAGCAAAAGCGCACGATCGATCGTAAAAAGAGAATTTTTTCTCATATTTTCTCTCCGAGGAAAACACATAAATCTCTCGCGAAAATCGTCCGCATTTATGCAAATAACGCCGCTAAATAAAATCAGTTATTAGAAAGTTAATCGAGCTCGTAAATTTCTCGCGCCACCGACACTTTGACAGTGATTTTGCCGCGCACAATCAGAATGCAAATTCACTTCGCGTTCGTCTATATCACTCGAAACGGATTATTATTTTGCCATCAATTTTGCACGCGAATTAGTCACGGATAATTTCTATTCAGGTAGCTAGAGAAGAGAGCAATCATTTATAAATTTCAAAAAATAAATAGAGAGGAAACGTTTTGGGTGGGGCAAATTTTTATTATTTCATCTGCAGATAAAAACAAACAATAATCGTGCGCCTTGTTTTTTACTTTTTCAAAGTCACTGCGGATTAATTTGAGAAAGGCTCGCTCAGACCATGACCACTGTGCGCCGTTTCCCGCTCTGGGCGGTGCACTATACCATCGCGTGAATGGCTCGGATGCAATTTTTCTTTCTCGTGGAAATAACACAACTCACCGAGATCGATTATTTAGTTCTTTGTTTTGTTCCGTTCGGGTGAATGCGGCCGAGAAATGTGTTTCGTTATTTCTTTACGAGGCGAGGCAAATGATTTCAAGATCGATCTAGTTATTGGAATATGAAGCAATTATCTTTTGATGGCGGTTTTACATCTCGGCACAAGTATGCTTGCTTATTAGGCAGGAAAGGTTGAAAGAGAAGAATGTGAAAATCGTCCACATAAATCTGAAATAATATATTATCGGAAAACTCTTTCTTTATTTTTGCTGCGGGCAAAAATGAAATAATAATAAACGCTGGAGAATTATTCCCTGGAAACAACCTTGACTTTTGACTTTCGGAACAAATCAAACAAAAGTGGCCTTGGATTTGAAAATAATTGCTCTTAGCAATGCCTTTTTAATTGTCACCTCCAACCGACATTAAAACCTAACACTTCTTGCAATATTTTGTGGAGTTAAAAAACCAGCCAATAGTAAAATGTTTTTCATTTTTCTCATCAAGAGTAAAAAATGACAGAAAATTTATAAAGAATTAACCGTGAATTTGATTGGTCATACAATTAAATTTCAAAAATTTAACTCCTTAGAGCGAGTTTCAAAATAATAAGAATAAAAAAATCACAAAATAAAGAATAAAAATAACAAAAAATAACAAAATTATTTTTTCACTACTTATTCAAATTATTTTTTATAAGTGTTTGAAAGAAATTTCCATTTTATTTTTTTATACCAACTTACTTTGAAAAAAAAATATCATCCACTGTCAGAATCAGTCAGAATAAAGTCTGGTCGAATTTAAAAAAATTTATAAAAAGACTATTTCACTGCAGTCTATAAATAAATTATGTAAAATTACTTGGTCTGAACGATTCAAAATATCAAAATCTTCGTGGAAAATCAGATATGGCTCAAGAATAAAAAATCTGCAACTCTTTCAAAGCCTCTCGGCGTTCATTTTGCTATACAAAAATTAACTCGCAATGATTTTTTGCAATTTTTTTTTACGGAGAAACGTCGAGGCGCCTGCCATTCGGGTCACGCCAATATCGCAAACAATCAATCGCGCCACAAAGCTTTCAAACAAACCAACAACAACCGCTCGGTTTCGTTTTCCGCCTCAAAACGGGTTTTTGGCGGCGCTCGGGAAAAAGTACCGATGACCGCTGCCGGTCGCGCAGAGAGAAAGAGATGATCAACCTGTTGCAAAGATCAATGGATCGCCAGCAATCAGTGAAAGGTGCACACACGGCGAGACACGACGCGCCAAAATAAAGTGACGTAAAGAGGATAATTCCAAAGCAAACAGGTCTTACCTGGTGCTGGCATGTGACAGCGGCGCTGACTCGGCGCTTGGTACGTCGCGGCGGCGCTCAGCAGCAGCGGAGGAGATTCTGAAAAAAAAAAAATAATAATTTATCGCCGTTCAATCAAAATGCAAATCCGCGCCAATAAATCATAAATAGTGAAACTCTATCAGCAATTAAACTTGGTGGTTTAGAAAAACTAGGTTGTTGGTCAAGACGGGCAATTAGTGGCAGTTAATAGAGTGACGCACACATCTTCCGAAATCTTCTTCGACTTTAATTACTAACTCCTATAATAGATACTTCTCAGGGACAAATTCAATAAAAAATTGCCCCATTAGAAAATTAAATATTGCATGCATACTAAAATCTATTATAAAATTGACAATTTTTTTTACATAGAAGATCCAAATAATATATTAAATAATCTATTATAGTTTTTTTCTTTCAGCTTTTTTTAATTTTTGAATGTTTCATAAGTTAAAATAAGAAATAATACAAAATTTTATAAAAAATCTAAATATTTGTCACAATAGTTAAATTTTGATTTTTTTTTAAATAAATTAATTTTAACATGTAATTAATAATATTTATTTGAAACAAAAACAATGTCAGCTGTGGCTTTTTTTTCAAGTGGATGGGATCTCTGTTTGATCTTGTTTGATCTTGGAACTATTTTGTACAACATTTCAGTTTCCCTAAAAATATATTTTTTTCTTTTAATGTTTCAAAAACATTCAAATTTTTACTAAATTTGTAAGTGCTTTTAATTAAAATCAATTTAGTAGTAAATTTTTTAATATTTTGTGTGTAGATATTTCAAAATTTAGCAACATCTCTCAGACTTGGCTGGTTTTAAAAGGGATTTTACGTAATCAAAGAAACAAATCAACGTTTCCGAGAGCTGCGCTCGATCTCATAAATATTATTTATCTGCTTTAATGGATTTACAAAAGCAGGACGCATTATATCTCAGCAGTGCTCGTACTTCATGCACGCGGACGCCATAAACTTGCCAATTAAACTTTCATAATAAAGGCGGCGACTGCATTTATTTTGGCTGGAAATCCACACGACCTGCGCGCACACACATAAATAAAAGATAAACCGAAATTTACGAGCATCACCGAGAGAGAAGTGGTCCGACTTTGCACAATTTCCTCTTAAGTCAATATACAAATAGATTTTGTTTGCAGAAGAAAGGAATTTTGCGCGCAATAGGAAGAGAAATCCCAGAATAATTTTTTTCTCGGAACTACTACGTGACTGCTGAAGAAAGGGCCCTGCAGGTGCTTTAAGCGCCACGAGAAGTTAATTCATAACGGCTGCCCATATTGGGCAGCACGGCCGGTCAATAATTTGCAGTCGGCAGCGGCGAGATAATGCTTCATGACACACTTTGCAGACTGGCTCTCTTGATTTTCGTAACACGCTATCGAAAAACGGCGTAATTAATTACACGGGCCGTTCGTTATTTTATTCCGATCCGAAGCAAATGAATGATTTTTTTTCCTTGCCGCGTAAATACGTGTTTATTATTTAGATGTGGCGCGGTAATGAGAGTTTTTGCACCTTCGGACCAAAATTCACGCTGCGACTTCAAAGTCGGCGGCTTTTTTATTATTAAATTATTGCCTCACGCCTGCTTTCGGTTTTATTATTCGGGGATCTGATTTGTGAGTTTTATATTGATGCCAGATTAAGATTATCAAACGAGTGGTCGGCTTTCCAATTCACACGCGGGGCTTAAGTAAGATAAGTGTTCCGGCTCGATTAATCGAATTGTGGTTTATTGGCCCGCCGGAGATGATTAGCATATGGACATTTTTCTGCACCGGCCCGCGGGCGACGTGTCGTATTATCGAACAATTTCAATTTATGTCCACGAGAAAACTCGCCGATTGAGACGTTAATTTGATATAAAATTCGGTCGCGCACAGGAAAAAATCAAGCCCGAGGCGACAATCCGTTGAAAATTCTTTCACTTTTTTTATCTTTGAAATTCGGCGTGCTCCATTTCGGATAATTTTCCTTCCAGCAAATTTTAATGAATGGCCTATGCTGTTTTATGACACCTAGTGCATTTTATCAAGAGTGCCGGCGGCCACACCTTCATGCGAATTGCTCTTTATTGAAGTAGAGCGTGCGTAATGAGCATGCGGGGTTGCAAAAACTGACCATGACTTGATCGCCGCGTGTTTGCCTCGACTGACTTTTTATTTAAATATCTTCACCTCGCCCTCCTCACACAGGTCGTTTTTGGAAACGGAAAGCTAATTAAATTCAAAAGTTGCCCCGCTATTAATCATTTTAATAGGCGCCGACAGAGAGAGAAAAAGGCACAAATTCCTGTTAATTTCTCCAAAAAACGACGTTTTCTTGTAAAGCTATAAATCTCACGTTGGGCAATGTTTTAAAATGTTACACTCATTTTTTTCACGCTTGTGGGAATTTCAAACGTTCCAAGCTAATTTCTTTTGCGACAAAGTACAAGTTGTAACGCCGATGATAGATGAGTCTGCTTTTGCAAAGAGGCACAAAGACGGATGGATGACTCTCTCCGCAATGGCACACACGGACTGAAATACCTTTACAAATTATTTGATACGTGCTGCATGTGTGTTTGGTACACCATGTAAAACATGTTCATAACGTGTCATCACTCGCTGCTCGCGTCCGCGAGTAAAAGAGACGCCGTTTGTATCAAAATTTCATTGCGCGCCCGAGGGCCGCGTCGTTTTCGCTCGTTATGATCTTTCGCAGAAAAAAATATCACATTACCCAGCCGACCTTTGCAATTCCTTAATTATTCAAGCCAGAAAGAAAAATCGAGTCTATGTAATTTTCTAAGTGGGAGGAACATTTGGGTTTATTGCCCTGGAAGTTTCTGGCAAAATCACAGGGTATGAAGCTATCGACTAATGCTTGATTAATTTCTGCAATTTTGTTTATTAAATTAAATTATTGCAACTTAATTTTTAAGTTTTTCTTAATTAATCAAACTTAGTTTTAGTTTATAGACGACAAAACCCTATGTTTTTAAAGTACCAGCAGATCGTCATTTAGGTTTTAGGGTCAGTTGTCCTTTTCAATTTTCTCTTTGCGATGAGAAAATCCACCTCTAGTATAAGTTTCAACATGAAAAATAATTACTGAACCTTTTCTATAAGATAACAAAATTAATTTTTAATATCAAACTATAAGATTTTTTTATATCTGGGACTTTATTGGGGTGATGCAAACTTAATATGGTTAAATTTGACTCATTTGGTCGGGTCAATTTTAAGAAAATAATTTATTTTCAAAATTTCAGCGCTCCAATGAATATAATTTATTTTTTAACACATCACCTTGGAAACTACAGGTAAAATGTGCAAAAAATTACCATAAAAATTAATCGCACAGTTTTTTGAAGCAGAGCTCAGGATATTATTTCTTTCTTTACTTAGCTGACTTGCGAAATGCAAAGAATTATGATGTTTGAAACATGTTATCAACCCACCGATCTGTCATAATGGTGTTTTATGGCGAACGTAAGAGAAACGTGAGGCTACCTAAGCAGAGCGTATAATTTTCGAGAGATGATGTTGACTTTCGTCGTGTGCTGGAAAAGTTCCCATAATTTCTTTCGTCAAGTCGAAATCGTCTTCTTCCTCTCTCCCAGGCGCGAAAAAAGACGACGCTATTTCCTCTCCGCGTGTCGATTTCCCTTTTCGAAATCTGCGTGGTTGAAATGGATCACAAATCATCTCGTCCAAAGTTTTATTTGTTTGCGGAACATAATGTGTAATATATCGTACCAGCATGAGTGAGCGACTTTATATTTTCTTCTCTCTCACTCGTTATTTATTTTTATACACGTATTTCTATTTGTAACAAACTCCCTACACGAGTTTGCGATTGCCGACAAAAGCGTCTCTAGCGTTAAACAGGACAAGCGACCACACCTTTGTTAATCAAAAATAAAAAATCGAGAGAGCCACTTCTTGTGTGTGTGATGCGTGGGTCCGAGGTAATGATGCTTTGGAAACAATAATTATTATATATATTTTCTGGAGCGATTAAAACGACTAATTTGGACAAAATTAGCCCAATTAGCGTTTGCTCAATGCGAGAAAATAAATATATAATGAATCTCAATTGCTGAAGGAAAATTGAATTGCGAAACTTGGCATAATTGCGGTGACTGATCTAAATCATCCACGTCGTAAAAAGTTTAAACAATTACGAAACTTTTTATTTTTTATAATTTTTGGAATGCGACGGGAAATGAACGCGAGCGGCCACTTTTATGTTCCTTGTGATGTAATAAAAGGTCAATAATCAGCAGTAAAAAACGGACTGGTTCTCCGTTTCGCATGTGCGCACAGCTGATCAGTACATGCGTGCAACCCACCACGTTGAATGAGAAACAAAAAAGTTAACGAGGATTTTTGAATACCGCCGTTGGCCACGAGTATGAGTGATATAGTATTTATATATTCAGGCGCACGGCGGTGCTTTCACTTTCATCTAAAAATGCTGCCCCTGACTTGCTGCAAATTCGCAGTTGCGCTAATAAGGAGCCTAGAAAATATAATTGCTATTAATTGTCGGGTACACACAAACGCGCCCAGCGGAAACCGCGGCCCGATTTTTTTTAAATCTCGACTTAGGATTCCTGCCGGGCGGTGATTTGTTTCGATTAATTAAGAGTTAACACTCTGCAACTATAACTGGTTTAGTAGATTTATGACGCCCTTCTTTTTGAAATTATAGAGGTTTTGGGAAAAGCTTTAACTTTACTGCACGTCAGGAATGCAAGAAAAATTTACAGAAACTAAAAATACAACTTAAATTAAAATACAGTTGCGAAATTAGCAGAATAGAAAAAGAGAAATTTACCGTTATAATTTATCTGGTCAACAATGAAATAAATTTCATTGAACTAACTGTAAGATAAATGAACATAGGCAACCAGCTCAGCAGGACGATGAGATGATGTTTACAATTTTATAATTAATTAAATTCTTCAAATGAATAAATCTATTTAATATCAATTTTCAAGTGCAACAGTGAAGAAGAAATTAAACTAATAATTCAAGTTGATTAAGCGTTGAGAATAGAATTGTTTTAATTTCAATTTTTAATTTACTTTCACTGTTATTTAAAACTATCTATTTAAAATTGATTTAAACACTTAAATTTAATATTACTGTGATTGAAAACTTAAAAATTTACTATTTTTCACACATTCAGAAAAAAATTCAATATAAACCTTTTAAAGTTAAAATGTAGAACAAAAAACCGAATTTTCCTCTTTCACAAATCCGACGCGCGCGACACAGTAAACAAATTGTGGGCAAATCGTGCGGTTGATTTGCATGAAACACAGATTTGAATCGTGCTCGTGCTAGAATATTAATAACCACTCGGTAATTACGCGCCCGCCGTTTACACAAAGTGCATTAGCTGCATGTTTCGCTTTTTCTCGGTGTTGTTTCCGAGACGGACATTTTCAGCGTTCATAATGTTATGCAAATGCCACCGAACGATTTGCATTATTGAATCTCGGGCATGTTCATGTACCGTACACGACACAGGCGGTGGAGAAAGAAACAATTGAATCAGCACATTATTTATTACACGTAACTTCCTTTTCGGAAGCCCCAAGGCCGACGCCGAGAATCGCAATTTGTAAAAAGAATAAAAGAGCCGCCGAGCCAAAATATTAGAGGCAAAAATGACAGAAAGAAAGCAAGAGGCACAGGAAGCAATAAAGTTTTAAGGCCGAAATGCTCGCAATTGTCGTAAAAATGCTTGATGCGTGCTCGAAAGGACCCGAGCATAAACATAGAGAAAGAAAGCAGCGCAAGGTTGTGCGAAATTTTTACTCATCACTCGCCCCAAGTAATGAAAGTAAAAACAACAACAGTTTTCAAAACGAAAAAATAAATAAATGATAATTACCGACAGTAAAATAGTGTTTAGGTTTTGTTCGAGTAAGAGAAAATTGTAAAATAATTTATTCATTTTTAAACAAGCTGGAGAGACTCGGTGCTAATTAGTAATCAGGTGACTAATTGAGCGGCGGAAGAAAATCAGCACGAGACAGATTTTGGCGAGCGAGGAGGCGAGAGAGCTGCTCTTTATAAGGGAGTCGTCGCCGAAACGCCTGTGTCATTATGTTAAACATAGAAAGTGTCCACATGGGCTTTATGCAAAATCAGCAATAAAGCAGCTGATGACTGCACTTCATACTTCATTCATTTTTCAAAAGCTCGCTCACTCTCGTTGGCTGATGATAGAAAGTTATCACAAAGACGAGTCCGCGCGGCTGTTTTGCATGCGCGACTCCCGAAACCGAAATGAATTAGAAAGCATTTACGCGGCGATTACGATGATGAGTTGGATGTTTTGCCCGAATCGATAAATCAGTCGCCGGTGATTAATTACTATATTCTGAATTCGAAAGGTCACACGCGCAGAAAGCGGCCAATTTCGCGGCGCATTAATTAGCATACAGGTGCGTTTTGTTCTTGCGCCGCGTTCATTCACTCGTCGCGAATGAATAATCGGCCGCACGATTGTCCATAATATTTACGTTCTCGGGCGGCACAATAAACTACTGCTGCTGAAAATCTCGCTCCTTTCTTTGGCCGCATTAATTTACTTGACGCCTTGCTGTTTTGAACACACACTGCCGACTCCCGACCGCGGTGATTTATATGCGAAAACAATATATTATATCGTCCTGTGTGTGTCGTTTTGCACCACGCATGTGTATAAAATAAATATACATATATATTCGCAAAAACTCGCTCGCCGGTTTCACTTCCTTTGCCCGCTGCTATGTCACCTAATTCGCGAGCATAAACAGCAGAGGTGAAACACCTTTGCCAGACCGCGCAGCTTTCGGCCGATGACAGCGGCGCATGGTCTAGGTAAAGGTTGGACCCCCGCCAGAAAGCTGACATACACACGAGGCGACTTTTAATTTGAAGCTCACAATTCAGGGAACAGATATTTAATAAATAATTGTGAATTGTAAATTGAGAAAATTGGCCACAATTTTTTTCCGCTTTGTCACACGGCGCTGAAAATTTTAATTAAATTTTAAAATAAAATAAAATAGATATAACAATATCATCTGCAGTAAATTTATTTTAATGCAAAATAATCAAAACACTTTAAGGAGTCATTCTTCTGGAAATAATAACATTTGTTTCTAAATTTTAACGCCAAAGATCTTGTTCTTCTGCTTAACTAATAAAAATAAACATTAGTAAATTTTAAATGGATTCCAGACCCAGATGTTTACAAAAATTTTTATGACTAAAATTGATGAGTGAAATTATGATTTCAAGTTTTTGATCACTACAAGCTTGACTTCCACAAGAAGCTAATAACACTGTAAATACTTGTAAAATATAATTTTCTGAAGACAATTTTTAAATATTTTTAGGTACTCAAGTTTTGTAATTAAAAATAGAGATAAATATTTGAAATTTAAAATTTGAATCCTAATCAAAGAAATTAATCAAATCTCAGCTCCTTATTGTACTTTTTGTTGATATAATTTCTTTCAATCGTTAATTTATTAATCTATTAATTCTCAATTTGTAAGAGGTGCCGAATTGGCAAACGACGATTTGCGGTTTCGTCGCGCAGACCGGCTCGCTGCTTGAATAGAGAGGATTTTAGAGAAACGGCGTCCGAGAGTGGTCTACATTCGCAATATCTCCTACACCTGATGGCCGTAAATGGATGATCTCGATTCCCGGTCTGCTAATAAACAGTGACCGCGCGCGTATAAACTGAAGTTTATTTCTTTCTTTCAATTTTCCTCAAATATATACACAAAACCCTCGCGTGCTATGTATAAATCTTGATCCTAGCCGCGAGCCATTTAGAAATCACCTACTTCTTCTCGGGCAGCCGACGAACAATTGATATACTGGTCGGCGCGAGTGATACTCGCGGAGTTAATTTCACGGCATAACAGTAAAAATTAATATCGGCCTACACACAATCTGTCCCTCACTCAATCAATCAGCTTCGATTTCTGTGGAAACTAGCTCGGCTGAATGCTTCAAGTCTCCTAATTAAGGAAAGAGAAATGAAGTTTGTTTTGTTTGTCCGTAGCGGGTTGCGTTAGCCATTGTTGCCCATTCGGAGAAATTTACTTCGCAAAACACGGGCATTAATTATTTCCCCTCTCGAAAGCAGATTGATTATTAAGAACGAGGTGCATTTAATCCGCGCGAGAAATTTTATATGGCGCATAGTGAGCGTAGGTGTGGCACCTACACAAGGTAAAACTAGCCTTACACGCGACACAAGCTGCAATAGTTCGCACAGCCTCGCGTTTCACGCCGAGTTTCGGTTTCAGAACTCGTTCTTTGCCGATGTAACCGTAGTGGAAGGAGGAAGTTGAAACAATAATCATTGAAGTAATTGCTCTTTGGCGAATAAGTTGTTACAGGTGAAAGGGCATAAATATCGGACCGGCTGTGCGCCGCCACACAATCGCCCGCCGTATATTTCTTTCTTTCTGCTTTCGGTCGCAAGTTAATAACAAGTTGCTGGCGATTAAATCGTTCTCGCATTGATTTATTTCATGCAGAAGAGTTTAAAAAAAAAACGCTGCTCTCGGTTTTACAACATCCCAGACGCATATTTCTATAATTTGAGTCGTAAATCGAGACGGCCGTTTATATCAATCTCAAGAATCGAACAGACAGGCCGCGTGCGATTTCGGTTTCGGGCACTTTCAAAAGTCACACAAGTCGCTGCCGGCGGTGTTAATTTCATTAAGTTCACTGCGCCTAATGAAACAAACGACTAAGCAAGCACCTGATGCTGTCAGCTTGACTAGCTTGATTTGCATTCCGACCTGCAGCGGCAGTTGCATAATTTTCAATTACCTGTCCGGCGGAGAACAACGTAACATGCACATAATGTTGCAATCATAACGCCCTATTATTTAATTTTAAATCAAGAATAAGTTTCACTTTTCTTTCAACATATGATTTTATTTAATAAAAGTTTATTTAGCTCGAAAACTAATGCAATTACATACATTTTATAGAAAATTCAAATCAAATAATTATGTATAAGAATAACAATAAAAACATAAAATTTTATTTATCACTACACGCTTATTTTTTTATTCAATTAATTATTAGCAAAATGTTTTTTGCATTTTCTTCTTCTTAGAACAACAAGTCTCATGAATATATTTTAGCTTATCACATATCATTAAATTAATATTCATTTATTTTGTTTTCAGGGAGCAGTACCTGTTCAACGTCTTTGAAGTGATCGTGTCCACCCTAGAGTCAAAACTTCAGAGGATAGAAAATCTGGATAAGGCCGTGGAGCACCTGATGCGCCGAGTGGAAAACCTTGACAACAGAGTAACAGACAACTTGGACAAGACAGACTCTGTGATCCAGAAACTCCGCTCTTTGGATCTGCGTCTCTTCCAGGGAGGTCTTCGCAGCTCAAACAGTGCGGAGAGTACCCTGAGAGGGCCCAACACCAAGGATGCCGTCGAGTCGCTGGACATGAGGTTGGTGTCGCTCAACAAGAAGGTGTCCGACATAGATACCAAATTGAACGGCCTCAAGAATCAGCTTGACTCCAACTTCTTGCCTGCCGACGACATCAACGCAGAGGCCAGCGAGAAGAAGACAATGAGCATTGACATTTCCAAGGCCATCAACACCGAGGTCATGCAACACATCTCACGGGAGTTTGACGGCCTCAAGAACACGGCCAGCAGTGTCGAGCGCAAGTTGCAGGTGCACATGACCACAGTCCACGACCAGATGAACCGGGCCCTCCTTATGATTGGCGAAATCAGGGAAGCAGTGGTTGAACCTGAATCCAAGAACGCCACCCTCCTGAGGAACAGCAAGCTGGATAAACTGTCTCGCCAGATGTCACCTATTCTCGGAGTATCCGAGAAGATGGATGAAGTTTGGGACATGGTTGTCGGCACCAAGAGCTCCGTTGACGGTCTGGTTCCCAAATCAGACGAACTTCTGACCCAGACGCAACGCCAGGAACGTGCCATCAATGACATCCACGCAGATTTGCGCGTCAAGACTAACAAGATAATTCAGAATTTAGATATGGTTGAGCAGAGGCTGAAGAAGCAGGAGGATATGGTTCAACGACCTGTACCCGCCGATTTGCTCCTCGACCCAACCATTGACCGGCTTGTTGAGTACGACCCTGCCAGGTACACCGTGGAAGGCGCCCTTCCAGCACCGGATGAGATTGTGCAGTTGTCTCCCCTGACCACGACTCCAGTGCCCACGTCAGCGACCCCAACGACCCCCGGCGTGCCATCAACGAGCGGCCTTCCTGTAGTGCAGGTGACGGCCGCCTCGAGCAGCTTAAACAGAGTCGGCCCTTCGAGGAACAGAATTATCTTCCCCAGTGTCAAGAACAAGCCGTCCCCTGCTAACACTACATTCACTTCCGAAGTGATTGCCAACATCAAAGACGTTAAAGTAAGTGAAGCGAATAGACTTTTCAAGTCAGGCGTGAGTGGCTGATAAAAAGCTCGCTGAGAGAAATCAGCCTATTAATTTGTTTAATGGAGCAATGATCAGAGCGAGTAAATTAATGTTAGATTTTATTCTCGTGAGCAGGGAAATAAGATAAAAACTAATAAATTCTAACAGCACACTCTTCCTATCTCCATAAAAAGTTTCAAATTACCGTTAAGAAAAATAGAATTCAAATAGAAAATATTTTTAATTTTTTTCGATTAGGTTATTTAAAATGTTTTATTATATTTAAAACGGTTTTACATAACAATAATTTTTCAATTTAAATTTTCAGTTGATTTTTTCCATTTCTAATAATGAAATAATTTAATCTTTTTAATTAATACGATTTTATATTATAATAACTTTTAATTTATTTTTTCCAGTTAATTTAATGTTGTGTGATTTAGGGATACTCTTGCGTGGACCTGATGAACGCCGGCATGAGGGACTCGGCGGTGTATTACTTGCAAATCCGAGGAACAACCTATTGGTACCTGAAGGTGTACTGCGAACAAGAGGTCGCCGACGGCGGATGGACAGTAAGACTTAATTACTTTGCTCTCTTTGATGTCGGCCGAACCGGCATTGTTGGATAGTTGCGAAATCATATTTTACTGGCCCACACACTCTCGCCGTTTTACTATCGGCCGATCAATCAATCGCAGAATAAAGCGATCGGGGGCCTTGATAAGTGGATAGTGCTTTCAAATAAAGATTATGTATCTCTTTCTCTCGGCGCAGTAGTTAGCGTCAAATAATGCAGGTCACCGTGCGCGCGATTCGCCTATTAAAAGTGCTGATTTATATAATGTGAATTAGCCATTAGCACAAAAAGAAGCAACCTAATTACCCTCGCGCTAGAGAGAGCCGACAAGCCGCGTTATTAAAAGACATTTAACCTTTTTTGAGAGAAGCGCCGCGCGTCTTCATTTTTTGCTCAGTTTTAAACAATTTAAAAGATTTTAGCGAGTCGCCGTTGCGCAAGGGCAAGGAAAAAATTCACTAGCCGCGGTGAGATCACCGCCGGGTTATGAAACAACCAGAAGAAAAATTGGACGCCGGTTTATAAATAAATACTACTGGTTCCTCTGATTCGGCGCAAAAACCTGGCGGTGTTTTGTTACGAAAATATCATTTGCAGAATTTGCATTCATAGGCTGGATATAACGACGATTTGATTGCATTTTAATGGAGCCTATGAATTTTCGATCAAGATCGCGGATGAATCAAAATAATAATTATCAAATTAAAACTATTGCCTAGAGAGAAAGAGAGGTATCGCGATAACATCTGAATAACATGTTAGCCGGCGTTTCTAAAGTGAAAAATTGTTGTGATTTGATGAATCAATTTCTTTCTAGGTCATCCAACGACGCGACGATTTCGGCGAACCGCGAGAAAACTTCAACCGAGACTGGAGCGACTACAAAAACGGATTCGGCGACCCGAGCAAGGAGTTCTGGCTGGGCAACGAAAATATTTACATGCTGACCAACAACGAAGAGTACATGCTCCGAGTCGAGCTGGAAGACTTTGAGGGCAACAAGAGGTGAAGTTTTGCATTAAAAAAAAGTAAAAAGAGCCGAAGAATAAAAGTAATTTTTTATACAAACAGGTACGCGCAATACTCGCACTTTAAAATTTACTCCGAAGCCGAGTATTACAAACTGGAAATCGACGGCTACGAAGGCAACGGCGGCGACTCTCTGAACGACCCCTGGTACGGAAGCAACAACAGTCCCTTCTCGACGTACAACAAGTGAGATTCTTGTCTTTTTTTATGTGTCGGTACTCATTCCATTTTGAATTTTTTAGAGACAATGACAGATCAAGTCTGAACTGCGCGTCGATGCTCAAAGGAGGTTGGTGGTGGAAGTCGTGTGGAAGAGGCCTCAACGGCCTCTACCTCAATGACCCGCAAGACCTCACAGCCAGACAAGGTAAAGACGGGCGGTGCACAATTAGCTTGTTCGTTTTAATGTGAAGGTTTTCAAATATTTGTCCAGATTCCATTTAAAGCTTCCTATTTTATTTGTATTTACGAAGAAGGAAGAAGAAAATACAGTCAATTTGGTGGAATAGTATAAATAATTTTTTATAAAAAATGATTAATATATCATATATAATAATTTTTATTTAATTGTTTAATAACTATTGGAAATTTGCTAACTTTTTCTAACTTCAGCTGGGCAAGAAATAAATATAATTATCTTGATAGACAAATTTGAAATTAAATAAATAATGAAATCTTCAAATTTTTTGATTAAGTGTCATATTTTGCTTTCAGGTATTGTGTGGTTCAGGTGGAGAGGCTGGGACTATACATTAAAGAGAGCAAGTATGATGATCAAGCCCAAAGGTGCAGTCACATCCCCTTGAACGACAACAAATCGCTGCCTCAGATAATCGTACTATTAGTTACGCAAAGCACTTCGCATCACCTCACAAACAACGACGAATTTAATGATTAGTTTCATCCCCGTTACCGACACATCATCCACTAACTCCTATCTCATCGATTTTTATTTCCTTTCTCTCGACTTTTATTGAGCACCAGCCACAGAAAACCAATTTTCGTCTAAAAATTGAATTCCAAATTCTTGAGGCACTTCAGTTTTTCTGCTGAGCGAAAAGAAATGATACAATTCGTTGGCTCTGGACGGAGCCAGCCATCCTAGAGGCTATGAGAACCTACTCTAATTTCTTCGTTAACACCGCATCCAAGACAAGAGCTCTCTTCTTAATTTTATTAGAGACTAACCTTTAAAGTGGCTAGTGAGACAATTTGTGAAAATGGGCGTTTATTACACATTTTATTGCGTTTCGACACCCGTAATATGTAAACGTATATTTGTAATGAAACACTAAATATTATTCTATTTATGCATTCTCCGCGCATCTTAACACGTAGGTGTGAAAAGCAAACACGTAGCCGCAGCCGACAAACGCAATTTCATCGACGCATCGGATTTGATTGGAGTTAATCTCAATTAACACCATGTGCCTTTAAATGAATGAATTTATGTACAATATAATTTAAGTTTCATCCCCAGCCCTACGTGTTTGTTACCAGTTTCAACTTCATCATCATCATCCCAGTAATTTTAGGCTAATTTTAGAATTAAACCTGGAGGATAACGTTTTTCATTGTATTTTTCGACGCGCCGGAAAACATGACTTTTGGGGTGTGAATTTACAAAGCGATTCTGACAATTAAGTGCTGAGTGCTCCTCGAAAGAATAGGACGCCGCGTCTTCCCGAGTTTATAAATCAAGTGGTGACGGTCTACGAATTGCGATTTTACCACCATCGATCAAATTTCCACTTTTGACTGCGTCCCAAACGGCAAACATTTGACTCGATAATTTAAAAAAGGCAAACAAACAAAATTTGCTATCTGTACTGGTTGTTGTAAATACGCTGTATAAATAAGTTTTTTTTAACAACACGAATCTGTCTTTTGTTTTATTTCTCGAGCCCCTGTCAAAATAAGAAAATTTTAATTTACTTACCATTTGGTTTGATCTCCTTTTCATTCCATGGACACATACAAGTTGAGGCGTGACCATTTCGCAGACAATCTTGCAATCGTTTCTCAAGAGAATTCAACTGAAAGTGGAAAAATTATATAATTAATAGAGAAAAATAATAGTTAAATAATATTATTTACCTTTCTATTGAAAGATTGCGCCTCCGCCTCAAACTGGTCCAGTGTGTTGCTCCGCTTTTTATTCAAATCAACATAGAAGGACATCTTTGGAACTGTGTAAAAAAAAAAAAAAAATAGTTGAGTAAAAAGAATTACATTTAATTTTTAAAGAAGCTTGATAAATAAGAGAAATTGTGAAATTTTCTTTAATTATTATATTAATTTTTAATAGGAAGTCACTTTTTATAGTAATTTTTTCAATCAAATTAAATGTGACGTTATAAAGATAATGCGATTTTAATTCCACCCATAATTATCACTTCAGCGTTCAGTGTGCCGCACTTTGCACTTGAATGTTTGTTCCAACATTACATAACAGCGCCTAGTGAAGTGGCAGCCCTGACTGTTGTCCCGGCTGATTCACGACTGCATACAATTCGTAGCAAATGAAATACTACATCCTCGCACTTTTATTTCTGCTTCTGGCTTGGTACGTCGTCCGAGAAGACTCAGAAATTCCAATCGAAATGGAGATTAAGAACGTCGCCTCCAACCTGATCAAAAATGTGGCCAGCGGCGAGGTAAATTTCAACCAAATTCCACCTTCAGAATTAAGCAATTTAATTTTATAATTCTCTCGCTTTTTCTATTGATTTTATTTGTTGAAAATTAACAAATTTCATCATCCTTATGTAACCAGTCGGTGGCGATGTCCACCCTTTGGGAAACGCAGCCCACGGTGGTCGTCTTCTTCAGACGCTGGGGCTGCCTTTTCTGCCGCCTTTGGGCCCACGACCTCAAGCAAATTGCCCCCATTCTCAAGGAAAACAACGTTCGGCTGGTGGGTGTGGGACCTGAAGACATTGGCGTCGAAGACTTCGTCGCCGGCAAATTCTTTGATGGAGGTATGGATGGCAAAATAAAATGATTAAAAATTTATAAACTAAAAGTTAATACCTGAGATGGATTTAAAAAGATTAAAGAAAAATTTAATTTAACTTTCATTTCTAATTCAGGTTAAATTTTCAAATTAATTTAATATTTAAATTTATAGAGCTCTACATTGACACGGAGAAGAAGTCGTACAATGGACTTGGGTTCAAAAGGTTCAACTGGTTCAGCGTGATGGCCTCTCTGATCACCAAAACCGCTAGGGACGCTATGGGTCGAGTAAGATCTTTTTTTATTTTGGGCAACATTTTCCTAAATTTCCATTTAATTTTAGGGAAAGGCTAACAACCTTGGTGGAGACATGAGAGGAGATGCTCTTCAGAACGGAGGTGCCCTGGTTGTCGGCACAGGAGGAAAGTTGCTCTACAGTTTCCGGCAGGAAGGACCGGCTGACCAAGTGCCCAACAGCACTATCTTGGGAGTGAGTCTTTTTTTATATAAAATTCTAAATTTTCTTGTACGCTCAAATCACTTTTCAGGCTCTTGGAATTAAGGTGCCTGAAGGTGTGGACGTGGATCAGAAAAGCCAGCCTGACGCCCAGTGCACGAAGGACGCCAAATAAAATAAATACCTCAAGTTTAATTAAACTCTGTGGTGACTGGGATTCTGCACAAGACTGATTGAGTTTTGAAATGGATGAATTAAATTAATCATTGCAATTAAAGGAACTTATCTTCAAAATACTGTTAATGAGTTGAGATATTGATCGAATTTTCAATTAAATAAAAATACGCCACTTTTGTTACAAAATAATTGCGCATCTCAATATTATCCTAATAATTTGTTAGTAAATTACCAAAGCTTAAATTTATTTTGCGGAATAATTCTAGTGGAATTACATACTTCATTGTCATTTCTCAATACTGCGAACAAAAATAGAAATTAGGAAGTGCATTGATTTTTAAGACCACAGAAAATCCATATCAAAGTTTATTTTTAGAATTGTTTCTAGAAGTTGTATGTATTCTTTGTACATTGTTAATTTTTTACAATCAGCTGAACAGCTAATGGTTTAATTTTAATTAAGCTGCGTAAAAATAAATTGAATTTTAATGTCATAAGTTTAGTTTCAAATGAAGTTTCTGCTTTGATTTGCTAAGAGGCTTGCTGAGCATTGCAAATATTCCGCTTTTACGACCACGAAGATTTGACTGTCGGCTCGGCATTCTCCGAATTTTCGTCGTGCATTGGAAGCTTATCTAGAAAACCTCGCCTCAAGATTATCAAACGTGACTCACCCTGATAGCAGAACTAGGTGGTGACACTGGTGACGGAATCCAGCGGCGAAAATTCTCACTGACAGTTCGATTGTTTACATTTTACACCATGCCGAAAACACCACAACACGCACGCCATTATTCATGTTTGCCGCCTTCAAAGCCGCCGAAGAAACGGCAACCACGCCCCTTTTCTTTGTAGTGCGACTTTCGCCGCTCTCCCTCAAGGGCAGCACCGGCCTGCAGATAATGCAGAAGATTTTGTTTTTCAATGAATGGACGAGCCGTTTCTAGTTGGGAGCTGATGGAGAGGAAAAGTTAATCTGATATCTGTGGGAAGCACACGGAAAAGTTCCTAATTTCCGCATACGGCGAGTGGTTATGGACTTGTGAAAAAACTAATACCTCGGGAAGATCAAAGGCTGGCAGAGCTTGAAGTCCAAAAATCAGCACTTTGTCAGGAGCAATGTAACTGCGGATGTAAAACTTCCTGCTCTGTCAAAGCCTATCAATGCTTGAGGAGACGATATTCATGGTAAAATTTGCTATAACTTTTTTATATCTATTGATTCTGTTGTTTTTACAATTTTAAAACGAGCCTTTAATCGCAAAATATAATGTATAATTCATCATTCATCTTAATTTTATAATCATATTTTTATGTCAAGAAATAGTAATTCCTTTCACCATGATTTTTTTTTTTTTAAGTTGCATGAATTTGTAATTTTCTCGTGTCTGCAGGTGTCAGCCTCCTCCTGAATGAGGTTTTTCGACGGCAAACTTCAGGCAGAGGTCATCCGGAGGCATGCCTGCAAACTCAGCCTCTAAATCGGGTCAGAGCAATGTGTCGGCCAATCAGTCATCCTGCTGTATTCGCCTGCATATTTTTTACAAGGTGGTTTCATTATGGAATATAAAATGACATCGTTGGTCACGCACAATTCTAATATTCACATCCAGCTGCTGATCAATTATTCATTTCACCTCGGTCTCAGCACAACAACTCACTTATTTAGACTTTCACCCCACTCTTTATTCCACTTGAATATATGACGGAAAAAGCTATTATTTATTAACCTTTAAATATTTAATTTTTTCACAGATTGTGATCGCGGCAGTGGTGATCCTAGTTATTCTCCAGTATTGCTTCAGTGCCATATCCGAAGGCCAAAAGCTCGAGCCACTGTTCCATATTGCACATAATAAATTTTCCTCGAGGCCAATCGGAAGAATTATCGCCTCCTCGTCAGTTGGCAGTCTTTTTGAAAGACATGAAAATGCATCTCAATCGTCAGCAAACGACAACGCAACAGTTTCTAATAATATCTTACGCAGGTGCCCGCCTGTGCCACCAAATTTAGGTAAAATAAATTTTGAAAAAATTCTCTTAAGCTAAATGCACTGTATTTCTAGAGGGCCCTATTGTGGTGCACAAAGAAGATGTAGCCTCGGAAGTTTTGGAGAAGAAACTTGGCCCATTCCTTCACCCTGGTGGCTTTGGCAAACCTTCCAACTGCCAGGCTAAAGAAAGTGTGGCCATCGTCATACCTTACCGGTCGAGAGCAGTTCACCTTCGGGTTTTGCTTGCAAACTTGCACCCGTTGCTCCGTCGACAGCAGTTGGAGTATGCAATTTTTGTGGTCGAGCAGGCAGGAAATGGGCCATTCAACCGTGCCATGCTGATGAACATTGGCTACAAAGAGGCCCTTAGACTGAAAAACTTCACTTGTTTCATCTTCCACGATGTAGACCTTCTGCCGGAGGACGACAGAAATATTTACTCTTGTCCAGAGCAGCCGCGCCACATGAGCGCCGCAGTTGACATCTTCAAATACAAGTAAGATTTTTGGTCCCAGAAAAACGATATTCTTAATTTCTTTTTCATTTTGCTGTAGGCTACCTTACGCAGAAATATTTGGAGGTGTCAGTGCAATGCGCAGGGAGCACTTTGAGAAGGTGAACGGCTTCTCTAATGCATTTTGGGGTTGGGGAGGTGAAGACGATGATATGGCTAACAGAATCAAGTTCCACAAACTCCACATCTCTAGATATCCTACCAACATAGCTCATTACAAAATGCTTGCTCACAAGAAGGAAAAGGCTAGTCCTAGCAGGTTGGTTTTTTGTATAAATTCTGTTTAAAAAATTAAAGTTCAATGTTCTTTCCGCAGATACAAGATCCTCTACACAGGAAAACGGCGCTTCAAGACAGACGGTTTGAATTCATTGAAATATAATGTAAAGAAAAGAGAACTGAGGCCCCTCTACACTTGGCTCTTGGTAGAACTGCTCAAGGGCCCAAACTCTAGCTGATGGCACGCTTGGGCTGACAAAATTTTGGGCCACCTTGTTAGCTAAAGAAAGTCAAAGGATCTGAATTTTGATCTGAAAAGTGATGGTCTGAATTGTTCAGATTTTGGACAATATTGGACTGGCAAAGTCATCACCTACTTGCTTAAAAGTGATTTTTGTTGGGCATAAGTCTCAACCTCAACCGTGTTTTTGATCAACCCATAAATGCTTCTCGTTATAGAATCTCGTATGCAGAATGATAAAGATTTTAGATTTGTTGAAAATCTTCCGAAATTCAGATCAATGTTTTGGGAAATTTCGTTAAATAAATCCTGGTTTCCCCTGATCAGGTTTGTGATATTGACCTGGGCCCCGCTCGAAATAATGTGCAGGCTCTGTAAGTTTTGATCCTGAAAATGATTGACAAACTTCCATAAAATACAGATACCACCCCGGCTTGGAGTTTTACATTTATCTGATAAAAAACATAAAAAATTCCAAGTTTATTTTAATATTTTTCCGTGATGGTTGCCATTATTTCGTTTCAGTTAAATTGAATAAATCATTGCTAAATTTAATGTTCAATGCTCAAATCAGTGGTAGGCTGTGTAATTCTAGGTCAGATAACCTCTGAATTTGGTGTTTATTTGGAATCCACATCAGATTTTTAGATCATATAAACTGTCGATTGTTTTGATGGTACAATATTTATATTTTTTAATATAACACATCCCATTTTAAATTTATCTCATTATTTTTCAGTAGCATCTCATGTAGTGGCATTGCTTCTTAAGAATATCATAATTATAATATCCATTTGAAAAAAATGCCATATTATTCATTTAAAACCTACAAAATCCTGAGGCAGCTACTGCCTTTGGTTCCTATGATCTGAAATTCTCACAAATGTAATCTGGTAGTTTTAATGCCGGTGTGCTGCTATTTGCTGCACACCTCTAGTCATGTATAAGTGGCTGAGGGGTTTTGTTACTAATATGAAAATCGGAGGAAAATATGTTAACTTTGCACTTGGACTAATTATTGTAAAATTTTGGGAAACCAACAGCCCTGGTGTATCATTATCATTCCAAAGATTAGAGGAATACAAATAAAAAAATTGTTACGCTAAAAAAAAATACATATTTAATAACAAAATGCACCCATAACACTATGAAAACTAAGGTCCAAAGAATAGTAAAATTAATAATTGCAACTTAAAAAAACTATATTAACATTAATAAATCTCTTTCAAAAGTTGTGTAAACTTAAGCTATATTTAACCATAAAATGAAAAAAAATTGAACAATAATAATTTTGAATAAAAATCTGGAATATGAGCAGAATTATGAGAAAAAATATAACTACATATCTAGAAACATATTATGCTCTTTTTTCAGTCCAGAGCGCTTTAAATGCAACAAGGTTTTTATAATTTTTTCGAGAATTAAATAAATTGCAGCAATCCAGATGCGCTCAGACTTGCCATGGCATTTTCTTCCCAGTTAACCCGTCCTGAGACATTTCGAGGGCTTGGGTGCGGAATTGAATAAACCTATAAATTGAATGAATTAAAAATGTCTTGAAAATAGTGGTAAAAAAAAAACTTGCCAGAGCGTTTAATGAAAACTTCTTGACCATTAAATCTGCTCGTTTTTCTGCAAATTTTCCAATGCACAATATTTGACTGCACTGCAAGACCCTGAGAGAATGGTAAAGAGCAGTGGAGCACAAGTTGAACAGCTCTTCCTTTTTGTTGCTTGCCTTAAAATGTAAGAAAATAATAAATACTCCTTAGTCTGTGACATTTTTGTTAATTAATATTTTTACTTTGAGTTCTTCAGGCGTCAGATTGCATCCGGATTCCTTTAAGAAAATGAGAGGACAAAAATTGTGAACAATAATATTGGCCAAAGCTATTTCAGCAGGGCAGTAATTAGTAAGTTTCTTTACAAGTCCCCACAGTCTAAAACATAATTTTAATTGCGAGTTTTTTATTATCTTATATTTTAAATTTTAAAAATATATACTTTGTTCCACTTGGCTCCTTTCTATGGCAATCTAGACCGGTTACAATTTTTGATGGATGCTGTTGTGTGGGCTGCCTTATTAAAAATCCAAACTCCGCCAGTCCTAAATAATTTTTTACCGTGTCTACGTCACCAAATGGGATCTGTGATTAAACATTTTTTAATATTAATAAATCAATTTCCCCACAAATCTGAATTTTTTTATTACTCCAGTCTGGCCCATTCCCCAAGGGCCTGGGTTCATTCCTAAAATTAGCAGATGTTTCGGCGACCTGCAGAAGCGCTGCAAATATTGAAAATATATTCCTCCCGCATATTCCACTGGGTCGTAAACCATGAAGACGGGATCGCTGAATTTCAACAGCTTCAGTTGTCCACTCAGCCATAACTGGACGCTGAAAAATTGGCTTGCAGTGTCGTAATTTCCTGGTGCCATCGAGATGAATTGTGAACTGCTGCTGACAGTAGAAAACTTATTTTCCTCAGGTTCTCGATCCCCAGCATTACTGTATTGCTGCCAGCTTGCCATAGCACTAAAACAAATAATAATTAAAAAAGAGTTATTCTGTTAATATTACAATTTTTATCAATAAATTTGCCAACAAAAAACTAAATTTTTTCCAATATTTATAAAATTTTTATATTAATCAACATAATGAAATACAGGAAATACATTTTGCTGAGGTGGTTCTCAAAAGTCTCATTTGTATTGCAGCTTAGAAAAGTGCCAAGTCAAATCCTAGATAATCTCCGTCTCTTCACTTACATTTAGTGTTTAAATCCCAAGCATTTTGGAACAAATATTTAAGCTCATCGTGAGTGCAATTCAAATTGTGTAATCGTCAACCTCGTGCAACACGAACTTTGCTCAAAGTTTCTCGACTTTCGCGTTTCGCGCGCTCACTGCCGGCCAATAGAAATGACGATCGAATCTTCTCGCGAACACTTTGGCAACACTGTATTGGTCTGCTTGCAAAAAAAAGTAAATAAAGCATATTGCATGCGACTCGTTCAATTTTAATTTTTTTTCTTGACAAATCAACAGAATCAACATATTTTTGGATTTTCTTGCTAAAAACTTTCAAAAAAGGAATTAATTTTCCCTCAAGAATTTGATGGATACCCCTGAGATTGATCAAAGCCTTCGAAAACACAGACTACTTCGAGGAACTCCATCAAACCGATTCTCAACGTTTCTGTCCCTTGGAATTTTAGGAGTTGCCAGTCTAGGTGCTGTAATTTGGCAGTAAGTTAACTTATTTAAAATCAATTAACCACGTAACTTATTTAAAATCAATTAACCACGTGTATTCTTAAAAATAATTTATTATATTAATTATTTACGCATTAATTGTTATTTAATTCTGACAATTATGTAATGATTGCCTAGGAATTAATTTCGCTCTACGTACTTATGTATTGTACTTTAATTTGGGCATTTCTGCTTTATAGTTTTTCCAAAATAGGACAAAATACATTGAGCAAGCTGAAGAACAGCAGTGATCTCATGAAAACTTCTGAAGCTCAGCTTCAGTTGCAAGAAACTATGAGACGCCAATTAGACGAAGGAATCGTGACAAGATTAAGGAGCACAGCTGAAATTAAGGAGAGGTTGGCTGCAAGTGAAAAAAATTATCCTTCTCCCGACTCGCCTCTATAATCGTAGCAGGGCTGTTGGGCATCAAAGAAATAGCTTTGTATAAATTTTAGTAAGGAAATGTTCAGTAGCGTTCTACCTAGTCTAATGAGTTGCAATAAATTTTTGCAGAGATAATTGGATTGTGAGTCTGCATTTTTATTCGATAAACCCACATTAAACGACAATGAGTCTCAAATTTAAAAAGGGGCCTAACAAGCTATCCCTTAAGTACTCCCAGCAATTGAGTCAATCGACCTCACATATTGAACAGAGACGTACACTGAGGTAAATTAATTAATACATTTGATTTTTTTATAATTTACTTATATAATATTTTATTTGATTCCAGCCAACCTGGATCTATGGAAAGTGGTGATGCAACAAAGAAGGAGGTCTGTCGCTCTCAGTCTGTGCCAACAGGAGCCTCTGAGCCTGACCAACCTCTGAGGGAAAAGCCCAAAGAGAAAAATTCTCTTGACTTTTCAACAGATTCACCTTTGAAATTGTCAGAACCAGATATTATGACATCACCTGAAGACGTTTTCAAGCCTACAAGGTCCAAAAGGGCAAAACCTGCTCCAGATCTGACCAAGCTGAAGAATACAACGACTGAAGATATATCTGAGAAGCCTAGTTTATCCAGTGACACCGATACTGTAGAAAAGGAGCCCCTCGTGAAAAGGGCAAAATTTGAACAGCTTGCAGCTAAACTAAAGTCATTCGAAAAGGCCCCTGTGAAGAAGTTTCCCATAAAAACCTCTGATGAAGTGAAAAATGAAGCTGAAAATGATGACAACCAAGTTGAGCCAGTTCCGTCAACCAGCTCCACTGTTGATCCTCAAATGCCAGAAACACGAGTTCCGGCTAATGCAAATAAGGAACTTCCGTGTGTAGTTTGCAACAAGTATTTTAAGAAAAATCTGAGAACCCACATGAAGGCCTGTGCAGGCAAAAATGGACTAACCACAGAGCAGCTTATGCGAGCACTGGAACTTCAGCGTAAGCAGGTTGAAGAGCGAAAAGAGCTCGGACTGCCTTTATATCTTCAGAACAAGAAATCAGCAACAAGTAGAAAGGTTTTTGAAATTTAATTTTATTTTAAAATTTAAGTTCTGACTCGAGTGCTTCTCAGAAAAATGGAGTAGGTGCTGAAAGTGATCCCAACATTCAACTAGCTTTGGCGCTTTCAAAATCATTGAAAGATGCCGAGGAGGAGGCTTATTTAAGAGAGGCAAGGATGATCTTCGAAAACCAGGAAGGAATGACTGAGTCACAAGTTGACGCCACCATTCAAGCCGTCATCCAAGAGCCAGAACCATCGACATCAACTGGTGGTAAGAGAGAGAAATAAAATTAAATTGTAGATTTAAATTTATGATCGGAAGGTCGACAATCAACTCTGACTCTTGGACAAGAGGGAACTCTTGTAGTGCAAAAATCCAGTGCTGCCGGTAACGCTACAAAAAGTGCCATCAATACAAAAGCAGCTCCTTTCATGACTGTGTCGGCTGAAGAGAGGTTGAGACGAGTCACCGAGAAAGTTGCCATGTACTTGCTGGACGAAGACGTTGAAGAACCATTCCCAAAAGCATCTGCTCTCAGACAAATAGATATAAATAAAGTGCTGCAAGAGAAATTGGAGAAGGTAAAAAATTACGAAAAATTATAATTATGTTAAAAAAAATCATACTCATTTAATTTTTGCAGGGAGCTGATCTATGGAAACTAGCTTCCAAGTCTCCGAGCACTGAAAATAAATCTTATTATGTTAAGGGAATCAGAGAATTTGTCTCACCTTCTAAGAGCAATTCTGGAGTCTTGCACTTGGAACCCCAGGAGCCTGAATTTCGAATGCTGAAAGAACATAAAGTAAAAAAACAAAAAGCGCAAGCAAGGCCATCATCTTCCCCAGTGAAGCAAAAAGATTCCTCATTGAGTCGAGATTGGGCATCTTTGTTGAACTCCAGAACCATGAGCGACATCCTTGTTTACTGCAAAGAGGACAAAGAGATTCGAGCACACAAGCTGGTACTTTTGGTCAGGTGTCCATCTATTTTGAAGGTGCGTTGATTAAAAAATTGTCTTTTTTTTCAAACTTAAAATCACATTGTACAGGACCTTGCATCTGAGATGAGCCAAGACGGAGCCACCGTTAAAGAAGAAATGCTATTGTGGAGTGAATACTCGGAAGGTGTTGTAATGGCAGTTTTGGAGTTTATTTACTGTGATACTACCTGTAAAGCAATGAGATTGAGTGATGCAGAGTTGGAAGACCTGGATGCCATTTCAAAAAGGTTTTATTTTAAATTTCCAGTGAACTTGTTATAACTTTTGAATAATTTTCAGATATGAAATAGCTGGACTGCAGACGCATCTAAATATGCTGAGAAAACTTCGAGAGGAAATCAACCAAGAAGACGAGATGGAAAAGTCACCTACACCTGAAACTCCGCCTGCAAGGGAGGCAGCCGTAGAATTAGTTCGAAAATCCAAAGTGGAAGAAAAGTCTCGGCGTAGTGATGGGTTCAGAACTGAATTGTCCTTTTTAATTAGCCAAATGGAGAAATCAATACCAAGTCTTGTACCCACGCAATCAAATCATCATTCTGTCCAGCACCCCATAATCGATCTGAGTGCTAGCCCTGAGTCTTCCACCTTTAAAAGCCCCAAAGCAGATGAGATGAAAGAGCAGACTGATGAAAATGGAAACACAAGTGATGAGGACGACATTTTCAGCAGAAAAAGTAATGTTGAAAAAGACGAGACCATCATTGAAAAAGTTCAAATAGACGAAGAAATTGTAAACACAGATGATGACCTGTTTGCCTCCTTAGACGATTCACTATTCAACAAAAAATATGGCAAAGAGGAGCCAACAACTAATGTTAATAAGTCAATTGAAATTAATGAAGATCGAAATGATGACTGGAGGGGCCTCAATGATCCAGATTTTATGAATACAACACCAGCAAAGTCGATCAGCTCAATTGTCACCACACCAATTGCAAACAGATTGTCTTGCATTGACGAACTGCCGAACGAGCTCATTTCTCAGATTGAGACTTCGCCTTTCAGCTCTCCAGTTCGTTTGAAAAATGACACACTACCATTGGAAGTTGTGACTTTGTCTTCAGACGCCAGCCAGAAGTCTGCACTAACGTTGAGTCCTAAAGCTGAAAGCCCGCTAACCCCAGAGCACCACCCTTTGGACGACTCTTTTGAGGTGCCCGATGGAGAGCTGACACACTTGGAGCTTGCTGCACTAAAGGCTTATGAGAAGGTCATGACGCCAATGGCAGCCTCTGTTGCCACACCGGGGTCTTCCAAAATCACTCCAATTCAAAATTACAGCCTAATGGATTCTCCTCAGCTAAAGGTTCGTCCATGATTTTGTTCCATAAATAATATTTATTTTTAATCTATTTTCAGAAAGAGCTCGACAAGTATGGAATCAAACATTTGAGGCGGAACCAGGCTAAATTAATTCTTCGACACATTTATGATGAGCTACATCCCAGGGTCTCCAGTACACCGTTGGCCAGGCCACCTAAGAGATTGGCAGAGAAAAAAACAAAACAACGGAATGCTGCAAAAATGTCACCTATAAAAGAAAAAGCTCAGACGCAGCAAGCAAAAGCACCTAAAAAATCACCAGCCAAGAAAACTGCCTTCAGGACCCCTGAGAAAACGCAGCCTGTTAAAAGTGCACCTCCTCCTCAAGCTACAAATGAGCAGGGCTATGATAGTTTTGATGAACTCCTCTTTGACTTGCCGAAGCCAGGACCCAGTGAAACACAGCCAGTTTCCCAGCTTAGCTCAAACTCAGAATCGAGTGGCAGCGATTCTAGTGATAATGAAGGGTAAATTGGAATTGATAGAATAATATCGTTTTGTTCATTCCATGCAATTTTTAGATATGGGAAATATGGCGGAGATGATGAACTAGAGGAAGTGTTTACACAAGTGCCTGAAACTCAGACTGATGTGACCGAGCAAATAGAGGAGGCCATGAAATCAGATCCTGGTCTTTACCACCGGATTTTAACTTTTGAGCCCATTTGGTTAGAAGAAATCAAGGATTTGCTTAAAGAGAACAAAGTCAGAGTGAACCCAAAAGTTCTCCTTGATTATCTTGACGATCAGGTGCTATTCAGTGAATTGGTTAATAAACAGTTTTTTTGATAACCTCAAATTTTCAGTGCATCACTTACAGGACAGAGCACCAACGTCCAACAAAACGAGCAACTCAGAAACGAGGTTGGACCCAAAGTCAGCGTGGCAGGAAAAAATAAGATTATGATGTTGAAAATAGAATAAGCTAATTTTTTTTGTAATGTATATCTTTTTTATTTTTATTAAACCAGATTATAGTGAAAAATTACTTTGCCTTGCAAACCTTTTACATCAATCAAAGTAGTCTTCGATGTCTACGTCTGGGTTGAGCAGATCATCTCCTAGCGCACTTACATCAAGTTGGTTCAGGATCAAATTTTCACAAGTTTCCTCAAGCTCTGTATTGCCAATCAACACTGCTCCGTGAACTTTTCCGTTCGAAATAATAAGCTTGATGAATTCTTTCCCAGGTGTAACTCGAACCAAAGCCTCCCAAGTGCTTGGGTCCATACCTTGTCCATTGTACAGTCCAAGAAGCACAACCTTAAAAAACAAAATTAGGATGACCATGATTAAAAGTATTTGCAAAACATTTACTTTGAAGCCAAAGAATGTTGTAACGTGGGCAAAGAGTTCAAAGCTGAAATCAAACATTGCTGCACTAGATGGGGTTGCCATTGACCTAGCAGCTTGCGAGCCCATTTGTCTAGCTTGTGTCCAGAGCCTCATTTGGAACCAGTGCTTTTCTTTAGGCCAGTCAGCAAACACAATGTCACCCGCAGCAAAAACACCTAAAATTATTTATTTGTATATAATTTTACCATCAATATTTAAAAATGTTCTAAAACCTGGAGCAGATGTCCTCATGCCCTTGTCAATTTTGATTCCAGTACCAAGCTGTGCATCAGCCAATTCTAAGATTCCTTCAAAGGGTTTACAATTGGGAACTACACCAATCGCATTGACGACTAAATCACATCCAATAAAATTTCCATTGACAAGTTCCAGCACCATAGGCCACTCATTGTGCTTCTTGGGAAAATCTGGGTTAAAACAATTAAAATAGGGAAAAAATTTAAAGCAATATAGGTACCGCTGTCTCCTCTTCTCAAAATTTTCTTCACCTCTGTCTCGTATTCAACCTTGATATTTGGCATTTGATCACCCGCAGGCCCTTGGATGTTGAATTTCGAATGCCAATCAGGGCCCAGTGCAGCACCTTGACATTCTTTCTTTTCACCCTTGAAGGATTTGTAGGTGAGGCGCTTGATGATGGTCTCAGGTTTCTTTTGGCCTGCCTCAGTCAAGGCTCCGGAGCTCATAAAAAACTGGGCTGCTCCTGGATCGACAAAGGCGGCCGAGATGTGCTTGTCTCTCACAATCCAAACAATATCCTAAAAATTATTTATTTAATTAATGACGTTGGGAAATTTAGAAAAATAATACCTGTACACCCTTTAGGGTGTAAACCAGCTCAGTAGCAATGCCTCCATTTCCAACAACAGCAACTTTCTTGGCACTCTTCAACTTTTCCATGAGCGAAGCTACTGATTCCATGTCTCTGAGGGTTAGAACAAGGTCTGCAGCGTTTTCAGATCCACACAGTTTCTTCGGGGAAGCTCCGAGACAGAGACAAACACTTCTCTCATAACTGTTACAAACACCAATTAATGTAATCGTTAAATTAAAAAAAGTTTTTTTTACCAAGCAACTCTTCCATCACTCAATTTCAGTTGCTTCAATTCAGGATCGAGAGAAACTAAGGTGACACCAGTGACCACCTTGAGGCCAGGACAACTTTTCTCTAGCTCAGAGGCTGTTTTCTCTTCTACGTCAAACTGGACGAGCGCCTGGGTGAGTTGGTTGATATTTGTCGTAACCCTGACTACGTCGGACCCTGAAATGAGTAGAATCGACTCTTGGGTCAAGGTGTTGAGGGTCTCGACACAGGAGATGCCGGCAATTCCACCTCCGACTACAATGTAAGAGGCTTGCAAGTCCATCTTCAATTTTCACTATCACTGAACTACGTTAATCACTATTATTTTAGTTCATAAATGCGGTCTAGTTTTTATTGCTTGATCTTGATGTACTCAGAGTAGTTGTACTCGCGATGCTGCACATCAAAGGTTAGAAAACCGCAGTCTCTTGCCCTCTCGACGGCAACCAAAAGCTCCCTGTGTTTTTTCTGACAGAGACCAGTTTTTCTAAAAAATTATGTATATTTTTTTTTATTATAATTTATAATAAAAATAACTTACGAATAACTCAAGACAGCGCCTGTGTGAGGACAAATGAACTGCTGCAAAAGCTTAATGTTACGATAGTCGAGCACCAAGTATTCGTCTCGGCAAATGGGACAGGGGTTGCCAGTGGAAATTTCTTCCTGTCTCTGAAAAGCGAAAATTTAAAAATTAATGGCTTCATTTGTGGCAATTTAAAAATATCCATACAATGCAAGTTTTCCTTGTTTTTGGTGGAGGATAATGTCCTTTGAAATTTCTCCGGTACTCTTTCCAAACAGGGTTCGCTCCGTATGTTATTTGGTATGCTGGAAATGCCACACGAATTTTAACAATCTGGTCACAAATTTCAATTCTCTTTACGGACCTTCACTCTCGAGGTATTCGATACTTGTCTCGACAGGTATAACCTGGTCTCTGGCTTTGGTAGGATCACGTTGCTTGGCCACAATCTGCGAATCGTTGTCATCGGTAGCCTCACACCGCAAAACGAAAGCCGTGTGAAAGCTCTGAGAAAAAATGTACAAGAGGTTAATTATGCCTGCAATGGAATGGTAGCAGTTTGAACCTTCTGCGGCAACGTTAGTTTTGGTCTCTGAAAAACAGCAGTGCTCGAAAATCGCGTCGAAACAAGACGAGAAATGCCAAACAAAAGCCCTCGTGCAGCCATTTCTTATCACACAACACAGCTGGCTCTCCCTCCCTCCCCTTCGCCATACAATACACCCACGTACGTGCTCCAAATCCAAAAGAAACAAATTTTTTGCAATTCCCTCTAGTATTTTATGAAATATTAGTAATTTTACAATTATTACAATTTTTCTGGTGAAAAATGTAATAGTAAAATTATAAACATTCAATGTTTTAAAAAATAACAATTAATAATGGAAAATCAAAGAAATTATTTTATTAAACTTTATTTTTTTTATACGAGATTTCTTTTTACAAATTGAAATAGAAAAATTTTATTTCTTCTTCTTCTTTGATCTGTCAATTTTATTCAGCTCTCCTGCTTGAGTTGCCAACGATCCAAGAATATCCTTGACTTTAGCCTTCCTCACAGCATCACTAATTTTTTTTTTGTTAATTTAAAAAATGAAACATAAAATATAAAGACAAAAATCATACTTCTTCATTGTCTCCTTGAGCTGGACCTTTGCCAAGAAATCCCTGTCGCGCCTGATTTCTCGAACAGCACCCTTCATCTCTCGTTTGTATTTGTGGACAAGCTTGACACGCTCCCTCTTCTTCTCGGACATGTTCACTCGTCGTTTGCCATCATAGCTGTAAATTAAAAATTATTCATTTTACAAGTTCCTTCCCTTAGTTCAATTAGCTTTACATCTTTGCTTCTACACGGGGCTCGTACAGCTTCAAAGGCTTGGGTCTCTTTTTCTCCATCATCATCACCTCAAGTTTTCCAGGGTTTAGGCAAATTTTCTTCAAACCCTCAATAGCCTCTGCAGTAGCTGCTCCCAAACTAATTTTTTAATTTTATGTATTTAGCTTATCAATTGTAGATTATATTTTTGAAATTATTACGCTTTTAATCTTTGCTGACGAACTCTGGAAAGAGCTTCCACAGCAGGTTTGAGAATAACGGGTAGGGATGGTACGTTACTCCTGGACTGCTCTGCCATTTTATGTAAAATCCTTACAGATGCAGAAAGAACCTCATCTCCCAAATCAGACGGGTCCAGTTTTTCCCTGTAAAAATTTACACAATTTAAATCATGATCTAATAGAAATAAAATTCAGTAAAATTACCCAAATCTGGCGTTTGACTCTTTTTCAATCAAGGCGCAAATTATGTCAGTCAAAAACTGATAAGCTTCAGGCAGAAATCTTTGAGACAGTGTTGTGTACTATTTACAAAAAATTAATGCTTCATTTAATTCATTGAGACAAGTCATTACCTGAGCCACCAGTTCACAAATAAACAGTCCATTGGAAACATCTCGAAGTGATTGAACAACAGCATTGTTCAAAATCTCAGCCATGAACACAGCAGCAGGGCTTGTCACAGGGTGGCGGAAATCAGATGTAGGGAAAATGTGCAGGATTAGTTGGAAGAAAATAACCTGCAATTGGTAGGCTTATAGCAATTGGCTTTACAAAAAAAAATTAATATCACTGTGTCAAGAGGGGGTATTTTCTTGGCTCCTTTCTTTCTCCACTCCTCGTGCTTTTCGGTTAGGACAGCAGCAGTGCATCTTCTTGCATTGCCGGGCCCAGAAAGTTGGACGATTTCAAAAATGTGAGGCAGCAACGTATTTAAGAAATCTTCATTTGGATTTGATACTAAAAATACTGACGTTAAGTATCACATTAATCAAAACAACCTTTCTTTTACCAAATGCATTGGCTGGAGGTTCAATAGTATTGTCGTTGATCCACTGAAGAAGAAATGCATACATGGCTCCTAGTTTGGCTGTATTGTTGGCCCCTAAACTTGGGTGGTTGCATTTGACCATTCGCTCCAGAATGACACTCTGCTGTGCAAGAGCCTTGTCTTCAAAGAGTTCTATGAAATCTGTGTATGTTTCTGGAACTATTTTATGCGTTTCAATAAACAGGAAATTTCACAGCATTTTTTTTTACAGACCAGCAAATGTGTACGGTAACTCTTTCCTAGCCTTATCCATCATTTCCTTCAGTTTTGCCAGGTCAGGGGCAGCTGAAACTTGGCTCTTTTTGTTTTCCTTGATATTTTTATCTTCATCCTCATCACTCTCTTCATCATTATCGGAGACTTTGAGCCGCAAATCACTTAAACTGTCAGCGTCATCATCTTCTTCACTTTCTTCCTGACGATCTTCGTTATCCTTGTCTTCACACTCTTCCTCTACCTCCTCGTCCTCACTTCCAGACTCTTCAGCCAAAATCGTGCTGCGAAGTACGCCATTATTTACGTTGCCCTCTTCATTGTAACTCAACATTTGATCGTCCTCTTCATACTCAAACCTAACAACGTAATTAATTATGTGTTATTTTACAACAGCTCACAAATTACCCATCATCAAGATCATCAGCACTTCTGTGCTTTGGAACAGGCTTCAGTCCATCATATTTTCCATGCATTCGTGCTAATCTTTCCGCCTCCAATAACTCAAGGCGCTCTTTCTCTTCTTTGGCTACTTCGTCTTCTGACTTCAACCTATCGGAGGGCTTTAAATTTTTTTTTTAGCCAGTTTAACTTATAATTGATGCAAACTTACAACACCCCTTGATTCAAAAGTTAGTTGTCGGACGGCCTTGTCGTAATCATCTATTTTAGGCTTTGGCTCATTTTCTTCAGCAGGATCATTTTTTTGTTTCTTGGTCTGAAACATTTTTATTTTCAAATTTGTATAAATTTGGGGGTTTCTTTCATACCTTGCTGTTGTAAACTACAGCCTGCAAATCTTTCCAATCCGTGTCTAGTTTGGCCGTGAGCTCTGCAGTTTTCTCGTTCTCACGCTGTTTCTCAGCTTTCCTTTTTTTCGAATCGGCAATTAGCTCTTGGATCAAACTTTGCCGATTCTGGTTTGAGCTTTCAGTCTCTTCCTTCCTGCTCAAAAATCCACCGAAATGCGCATCACCAACAAATTTTGCTGCATGGATTAAAAATAAATTGGCTTAGAAACAATCTATGTAAAAAAAAAACAAACCTTCCAATTTTCCTGACTCGCGTTCATCTTCGTCCTCCGAGTCACTTCTGGGGTCGTCAAACTTTTCAATCTCATTCAAAGACTGCCCTCGATGGGTTAAAACTTCGTCATCAGCAAGATTGAATCTCGACTTTTTGCGATTCTTGTTTCTCTCGGCTGTGAATCGCGCCACAATCCTATCTTCAGCCGTCATCCCTTTATTGTTTTCTCCAATTCGTCGATCCACAAACTCATTGGCCTTGTTGTGAACTCTGTATTCTTGAAGAAGAGTTGCTTTTCTCTTAATCAATCAACATTATTAAAATTTCATCAAACGAACAAAAGAAATAAAAAACCTTCTTCAGAGCTTTGGCTCTGGACACTCCAGGAAGACCTCGATCATTTTTATCTTTTCTGCCAAGCACTTTGAACTTTTGTCGATTCACGTGAACTTCAAAAGGATTAAGAGCTCTAGGTTTATCTGACACATTCCGACTTTTCGCAGAATCTGCTTTCTTCTTCTTTGAATTCGATTTCTTTGCCATGGTTTTAATTAGAAAATCACAAAATGCACCGTCTGAAATTATTTAATTAAAAAAGGGATTCTCCACACGAAATATAGTTATTATTTTGCTATCATTGACAATAATCTTACTTAACGTAGATTTGCGCAGCTACTTTTGGTAAAATTTTCTGTCAGTGGTGAAAAATCTCAAAACTAAACACACACAGAAAGACAGATCAAACCATGCCGTCCGGCGCCATGTGTTTACACTCTGAGCGCTGCAGTCGACGAACTAAGAAAATTCTTTTTATCGGGAAAAGCGCGGGATGGACTTGCCAATCCGCCGCGCGCCCGGCTACGAAGTGCTCCGATTTTTTTTATCCTTCTGCCAGATCTGCTCAAACTTTTATCGCGACTCCATTTGTGAAAAATATAATTGCCAAATATTCTACTCCACAGGTAAATTTTAATTTATTTCGTCCAGTATTCTATTATACATTATTTTTTTTAGAAAACATTTATTATGGCCAATCCTGTTATTTCTATGCAATTTATTTTTTAGAAGGGAGAAGATGGATTCAAACGAAATTTCCGTACAGGGAGATTTGTTGAAATATTTGGAATCTGAGGGTTACCTGCAGGATTTGGCCACAACTGGTGCTAAATATTTGCAGGCTATCCTTGAAATGCGTTCAAAGGGCTTGCTTGGTCCTGCACTGTGCTTTCGTCCAGAGATTAATTTGACCAAATTGAAAACCATGTCGGGTATATTTCATGTTAATTTACAAACATTTTTCCTCTTTTTAAGCAATAATTTATGTTCCATGAAAATATTTTAAACTTTTTACGAAAATAAAGTTAATTTAATTTAGTGCCTCTTTGGAGGATGTGCGTGGAACAGCCAGCATTGGCAGAACGGCTATTGCAGCAGTTGACTATGTACATTTTGGCGGAGTTCCTTGGTGGACGACAATTGTTCAGTGAATTCGATTGCGAGCAGATTTTCACGCCGCTTCGATTATCCCTTGAAGCTGACGATTTAGAAAAAGAATCTCTGCAGAAAAACTCCAAGCAACAACTTGTGCTGATCAAAGGAGTGTTGTCCTCCTACGTGTCACCTTCAAAATACGTGTAATTCATTATTTTATTACTTAATCAATATCTTTTAATTTGTGAAAAAATATTGTATCAGGCGCAGCTGTGTAACAAGGTGCAGAAATGGTGAATGTCCTGGCGCACAGCTGAAAAGACGTCCTGGTTCATGGTTCAAGGGAAGACTTTGCTTCTACTGCAAAACGGAGGAACTTGAAATGCCTGAAGAACGAGATGTCGGTGAAGAAGTCCTAGTGACAATTCTTCCACTCCAAGGATTAGATACTGCGGTCGGAGGGAAAACTTCTGCCATCCAGATTATTTTCAAAGGTTTTTTTTTATTTAAAAAAGTCTAAAACATTTTAATAATATTAATTTCCAGATGATCTTTCTGCTGGCCTGACTATTGGAAGCACCATCCAGGTCCTTTGCAGACCTGCTATGTTGCAAAGAGCGCCTAATTTGACTTTAGAGGCGTGCTCCAGAGTAACAACAGAGCTATCCTTAAGCCAAACAAAAATGATTCCACTCACTTTTCATGTGGAGGAATTTTACAGCAGATATGAAAACTCTCCGTGGGCAACAGTTGCAGCTTTGGCAATGCATTTTGGCAGAGACATGTTACCCTATGGCTGCTTATTCAACGTCAGAATGAACATGATTTTGAGTTTAGCATCCCAAGTAAATTAAAAGAAACAATGAAAATATTTAAATAATTAGATATAAATTAATTTCAAATCAGGGCTCGATCAGACCACTTCCTTTGTTAGTACTTGGCCAAGAAAACGTTTTGGCGTCGAGGATTATGGAATCTGCTGCAAAATTGTCCTACAGAAGTTTGATCCATGGGTGTCAAAATACCATCAGTGGAGTGGCTAGGAAGTGGGAGGACAACAGGGAAAACCACTGCGTCGAAGCAGGGTCACTCGTGTTAGCCTCGGAAGGGGTTTGTCTGGTTGGCGATTGGACGGGTTTGAAAAATGAGGCAAAGACAGAATTTAAAAGTGGCAAGTTCATAAAAATTAACCTCTAAAAACCAGCTAACACGGTATGATAATTATTTTAAAAGCTATCGAGAAAGGGTTTGCTACGGTGAAGCTTCCGAATAAACCCTTGGAGTTTCCCATGAAGGCATCTGTCTGGACACACTGCAGTCAGCTCGACAAGAAAATGCTGAAGCCAGTGATTGAGTAAAATTTTGAAAATAATTTGCCTGATTTAATTAATTTCTGAATTCATTTACAGCGTCTTTGGACTGCCTGCCATGGCGGATGTTAGTGATGAAGGAAATGTGAACTTGGCTAACTACATTCTGAACAAATCTCAGACGCACCAGGAAGTTTGCATTGAAGATTATTTGACTGACACGGACTTGAAATTGGTATTTATTATTAATTTGTTTAGATTTCATAATTAAAAATATCTGCATTTTTCATTAGCTCATCAGCAACTTAGGAACAAGGAAAGTCACAGTGACAGAAAGAGCTGGCAACTTGATTAGAAATTACTTTGTGGCAAGCAGGCGAGCCAGAGTAAATGGTGGGAGTACTATTGAGCAGTGCTTGCCCATCGGAGCTGTCCAGAGCATGTGAGGAATACCAAGTTAAATAGTAATTAATTTTGACTAAACTAAAAATAGGACAACTATGGCGGAAGCGCATGCAAGACTCTCTTTAAGGTCAGAAGTTCTTGCCGAAGACGCACTTGTAGCCATTGCACTGTATGAGCAGTCAATGGTGACCCTTTATGGACCAGCCTTTCAAGCACCCCCTCCGAGCTATTTTGATACTTCTCTGAGCTACGAAAATGTTCAACAGAGTGTTGATGACTACATGACGACTGTGATGGCCTGGGCTCAGAACTACATCAAATCTCTGATCGGCATTGAAGAATGAATGATTATTGATCCATTAGAATATTATTTTTATTTTTCAGCTTAATAAATACACAAGTCGGAAATTGATCAAATCTAAGTTCTTTCTTTTTGCAGCAATGTCTAGTTGCTGAAATGGTTAATATCAAAATTGTATTGCCTAATCTACAAGCTAATTTGTATTTCTCCGATCACAAAATAAACACATTGGAATGATTAATTGTCAGTTTCAAACTTACTTAATTTAAGTCGCCTAGCTGATTAGTTATTCATTTTGAACTTTTGTATATCATCATAGTTAATAAAATTTAAAAAGTTACTTTAGCAATATATCCACAAAAAGTAGACTAGACTATGTCAATAGTCTGGCGTAATTACGACGAGAGATTTTTGTGACTGACCTTCCCTTGAAGCAAAAAACCACTCAGGTGGGTCTGGGTTTCAAACCGTACACGCTTGGCTGCAGTAATTCGTTGCAAATTGCGTCAACCATCTCTTGGAGGATTTTGTGCAGCGCCTCTTTGTCCCTTAATTATAGAAAAACACATTAATGACCACATAATTATTAAATTTAATTGTAACTCTTACTGCTGCTGCGGAGAGGCACAGAGTTCTGTGTAGTATTTGATTTTTGGCTCCGTTCCACTGGTGCGAAGCGTAGTTACTAAACCATTTTCAAATTCTAAAGTGATCATTTGACTGGAACGGGACACTGGCAGGATCGCTTTATTGTCAGGCTGAGTAGAATCAAATCCTGTGGTGAGATCACGAACTCCGACTATTTTGTATTTCCCATTCAGGATTGACTGTGGATACTGAAATGAAAAGTTTAATTAACTGCAGGCTCTAAAAAATATATCTCAAAAATTATTTACTGAATCAGTTTTTCCTTCAATCGTCCTCAGTTTGTCAAACAACGTCTTGATGGTAACAGGATCGTAACACAAGTAGTAAGAGTTAAGACTGATATGATATCCGTACCTTTATAAAAGAAATGCTAATTGTCATATTTACAGTATTTATATATCATCCTTACTGAGTGTAGATTTCGTTGAGTTTTTTCAATAAAGTGGAGCCCTCCTGGTCGAGGTAAGCAACCAGCTCAGCTGCTCGAACGGCAGCAGATATCCCGTCTTTGTCAACAACAGTCGTTCCGCACATAAAGCCAATGGCTTCTTCGTAGGCAAACAAAACAGTGTTTCCCTGAGCTTCTAGTTCTATTGCCTTGTTGCCCATCCATTTGAAGCCAGTCAAAGTTTCCTGAAAATATTTTTTATAATACAAATAAAAAAATTTATAAATATTCATACCACAAAATTAAATCCTTCTTTTTTGGCCATGGACCTGAGAAGTTTGGAGGAGACAGTGCTGGCTAACATGTAGATTTTGCTCATGTCAGCTTTGGGGTTTTTAGTACGATAGCTGTAGAGCGTCCACCATCCAAGCAGAGCACCGAGCTCGTTTCCACTGAACACATGCCATTCTCCTCTGGAAATGAATCATTTTTGTGTGCTTATTTATTCAATATAATATTGTAAGGTAGCAATCACAGAGGCTAAAAAAAAAAAAATGAGATGCACTGATTACCCTGGGCCTTGCTCTGCAGCAGCCAAGCGGTCCGAGTCAGGGTCGTTGGCCAAGATCAAAGTGCACCCTTCCCTGTCAGCAGTTTGGAAGGCCAAATCAAGGGCACTTTGTCCTTCTTCGGGATTGGGAAAGTCAACGGTAGAAAATTCTGGATCGGGATCCTGCTGTTCTTTGACTGACACAAATGGCTGAAAGATTTTTTTTAGTTATGAAGTTTTAATTTTATTGCAGAAAAAGGAATTATTACTTTAAATCCTGCGACTTTGAAAGCCTCGACCATGTATGTGTACCCAACTCCATGCATGGCAGTATAGACGATTTTCGTAGAGCTCGATTCATTGCTGTGGCGATCGTGCACACCTTCAGATAATTTTGCGTAGTATTCCTTCATAACCTTTACTCAAAAATTTAAAAGGATTGCTTTTTTGAAATTATATTCTAAAAAAATTACCTTTGAAAGTGGATCCTGAAGTGAAGGGTAGCTTTGCAAGCTACTTGTATCCCATGCTTTTTCCCACGGCGTCAGATTATTCAAAATACTGTTCTGGATGTTTTTGTCATGCGGAGATATGATCTATGAGAGAAACAGACAGACAATATCACAAACTGCAGCTGACCGTTTAATGACGACTCAAGAAAGACTACTTGACCCTTGTTGAACTTATTTGTTTGCCCCTACTTGATCTTTGACTTTGGAGCGCACAAAAATATTGACCCAACACTATTTCATTTGTTTCTAAATTTTTACCTGGGCCGCATTCTCCCAGTAGACTTTGTATCCATTGTCATCTTTTGGATTGTGGGAGGCAGTGACCATCACACCTGCAGCACAGCCAAACAGGTTGACGGCAAAAGGAACAAACGGGGTAGGACACAGCTGCGAGTACAGATAAACAGGGATGTCCTTTTGCAGAAAAGCAAGAGAAGCCAGCTCGGCAAACCTGTAGAAACAATTTTTGTAAGACCAAATATATAATAAAAAATATTTTTTTTTTCTTTTCTAAAACAACCTTCGGCTGTTGTGTCGACCGTCGAAGCCGATGACCACTCCCTGCTTTGTCGACTGGTCATTGCATGACCTGATGTACGAAGCAAGCCCTTGGCTAGTCTGGATGATGACTAGGTCATTCATCTGTGAATAGCCGGGACCCATTCTGCCTCGGAGACCTGCTGTCCCGAACTCCAAACGGGCCAAAAGCAGCTTCTCCAATTTTTCATTATCGCCTGCTGTCAACAACTTTTTCACCTCAGACTTGGTGTTGTCATTCTAAACACAAGAAATGTTAAAAATTGAAATTTTAACTGAAGAAAAACCAAACCTTGTCCCACTCAAGCCACTCGTTGATTTTGTCGGAGAGAGCCATCGAAGTTTCCATGATCTCGAACACTCGGTCGGCCTGAGAACGTTTTCTTTTAATTGATTTCGCGGAAGTCCTTTTAATGACACCTGCTGTGCAATCACTGGGTACGTTTGTATCTTTGCGGTCTGTAGAAGGCAGCAAGAGTGCTCTGCGCGCTGAAAAACAAGACAGATTAGATCACGACGAGTATCCTGTGGTGGAGGTTATTGGAAGACACCATTGAAGCGGGATTAATACATATTTTACAATAATTACTCCGCAGGCTTGAGGTCGTTTGGCACAAATATGATCAATGAGATTCGAAAAGTACGAAAATTCAGCTTACACAATAAAACACTGGTGCTTAAAAAATTTCCCAAGTTTCAGTTTTGATTGCCAAATTGTACAGCAAAGGCTTCGGTGTGTGCGACTCCTCTCGTCCCCGCAGCAAAATTAAACAAAGGGGGAGGAGGGAGGAGCCTCTTCTTGTAGCCGAGTCGAGCACGCAGTTGCGGCGTGAGATTTTGAAGGCCACGAAATCTGATTCGCTGAACTTGCGACTTGCGAGTTGTGAAGTCAGGGTGTTAGCAGAGGAGACACAATTTGACAGCTATTTATAGACAAAATATCTAAATTAGGGTTTTATAATAAGTGCAAAATTAAAAAACTCATAATAAAAACAAAACTTATCAAGAAATTTGAAACTTAACTTGTTTTATTTTTTAAGAAATAGGGGAAGGTTTCTGAATAATTGAAACTCATATACTCACTACTCAGCCACGCCTACGCGTCCCGGTGTTTCTTGTGTGTAAACAAAAGTCTCCCTGTCATTTTTCACTTCTCACCGTCTTTTAATATTTATGATGTAAAATCGACATATATTTGGCAAACAGAGGTCCATTTTCAAATCAAACCAATTTCTTAAAAGTTAAAATGGGTCTGCTGACTGATCCTGGCGCAGGGCGAGGCAAATTCTCGCAATATCTAGTCCACTACCACAGCCGTCTTTGCCTGCTGATGTACTTGGGCTGCATAGTTTGGTTCCTGCTCCTCGTTTATGAGCCTTACAATGCAGGTGAGCACTTATTATTAAACTGAGGTTTTATTCAAAATTGATTCACTGAAAAAATTTCCAGGAACGTATTTTTCTGAGAACGCACTACTACCCGGTTTAGTCAAAGGAGAGTTCAACGACAAGCATGTTGCCAAAGGTCTTTACGAAGAGCTCAAGACTGAAGCCGAAAGGTATCCAAACGATATGCCCTACACATGGCTTAGGTCGAAAATGAGGCAAATCGGACTAGACGTTTACTCACACGAGTACTCCCTAAATTATCCAATGGGTCTAGGAGTTGTAAGCTTTTATTATTTGACACTCTCAAAAATGGAAATTAATCTCTCTTAAATCAGAATTACACCGGGAAGAATATTTATGGCATCATTAGAGCTCCTAGGGGTGCTAGTACGGAAGCACTGGTGCTTTCCGTCCCATACAGACCTCTGGCCAGCGCCAATCTTGGCACTCTTCCAGGAGTAGCTCTGTCTCTTTCCCTGGCCAAATATTTCCGAAGTAAATAATTGTTAATTTTAATTAAATCAGTAAACTAATCCTGCACTCTTTTCCACAGGACAAAAATACTGGGCCAAAGACATAATTTTCCTGTACACGCAGCACGAGCAACTTGGAGTTCAAGCCTGGTTGGAGGCCTATCACCAGGTCAGCTGCGGGAAAGGAATTTTGCAGCATAACGACTTGAAAGGCAGGTCGGGAGCAATTCAGGTATTTGTCCTCCCTATGTCATATTGAGTGATTTTTAATTAAATTTATTCAGGCTGCCATTAATTTGGAACTCTATGGTGAAGTTATAAGCCACTTGAATGTAAAAATCGAAGGGCTGAATGGTCAGCTGCCTAATTTGGACTTAGTCAATTTGGTCCATCGAATGAGCTCCAAAGAAAATGTCCGTCACACATTCCACAACGAAGTAATGTTTATTACTTTGAGACGTTGATGAAAATAATATTTGGCTCATCCTAAATCGCAGGAAAGCTGGGAGGGCTATATAACTTTTAAGTCTTATCTGAGGTCGTTGAAAACTCTGATGTCTATGGTGACGACTCAAGCAGCCGGAGTTCCAAATGGCAATCACGGCCTCTTTCTCAGATTCGGCATTTCTGCTGTGACAATAGAAGGTTTTGAAAACAAAGAAAGGCAGTACGGCCCAGGTTTCTATCAAGTTGGGAGGTATGTTCAATATTCTTTGGACATTCATTTTCTCTAATATATTTCTGAAGGATTATGGAGGGCGTTTTCCGAAGCTTGAACAACTTACTTGAGAGATTCCACCAGTCATTTTTCTTCTACCTCCTTCCCTCAAACAACAGATACATTTCCATAGGTTAGTATTTAAACTTAAAAATTGATATAATTTTGCATTGATGTTAATTATCTTCTAGGTTTGTACATGCCGTGCATTTGTCTCTTGGCTGGATCTCTCCTTATTAGAGCATTTGCAATGTGGCTCAAACTGAACGAGTCGATCCAAGATGAAAGTTCTGGAATTGCGACTGACTGGCCTGCGGTCGTGCAAAATATCGGCGTTTCGTGGATTGCGATTCATCTGCTAGGATTCGTTCTTGTGTCCGGAACAGAAACTTTCAGCAGATTGGGGCTGGAGTTTGGCCTAATGACAGTGGATTCGATCTCATTCGCATATTTTGCTTTTTCTGCGCTGTCCCTGTTGTTGCCATTTTTACTGCGACTGTGAGTTAATCTTAGATCTTAAATTAAAAAAATATTAAGTTTATGTAGTGACAATTTTATTTGTTAATTTAAAAAAAAATATGTTTCAGATACAAAATTAACATGACGAGCAGTGCCCCACTGTTGCACATTTTGACCCTGCTCGAGTTTTCGGTGGCCATGGTTGCTGTTGGGATGCATAATATCTCTCTCGCTTTGCTGACGGGAGTCTTGTTCACACCTGTCGCGCTGTTCATAGACGCATACAGTACAAATAGGTAACTTTTAACTATTTTTATTATACCTGATTAGAAACTAATAAATTCAATTTCAGTGTAAAGAAATTTGCCCTTCGTTTACTGATGCTTGTGCTCCACCCGATTGTACTTCTGTCCATCGCAGTCACAGTGACAGCGGCTTCTGCATTTGCCTGGGAAAACTTAACCATCGCCATGATTTTTGACGCCATGAAGCAGTCCATCATGTTCAGCACCATGGACAGGTACATCTACGGCAATTGGATCATGACTGCAGGCTGCGTCATACTATTTCCAGTGTGGATGATTTTGTGGTGTATATTGAATTGTGCTCCACCTCCCTCAAAGGAGCAAAAAGCCAAAGCCGAATGAATTGTATTTAATATTAATTTTTGTTAATAAATATCTCTTGTGACTTATTTTGGAAATATTTTAATTTTAATGGTTAGGAAATCAATAGTTTATTAAAAATGTAAACTTTTTTAAGAAATAAGATGATGCTTTGAATGAGATTGACTTTTAACTAAAAAGCACTTAATTGCATGATAAGGTGGTCTCCATGGCAACATAATAATAATCATGATCATAAAGAGTTATCCAGATTCTGGTTTTATCCATTAACACTACAATGGTCATTCAACATAATCTAGCGCTCAAACCAAATTTCATTTACGGTTTGAAGTCGAGCACGGCACTGAACGTTAATTTTGCGTCTAATGAGGACGTTATATACCCAGCGGGCGGCGTGCTTGTCTTGCACAGTCTTCAGAACCCACGCAACCAGAAGTACATTCATCTGCACAACAAACTGAAACCACTCAACGTTCTCTGCATAAGTCCTAATAAGTAAAGAACCTCTGTTAACTATATTTTGCACAATGCCCTTTGATAATAATTTTGTTCAAGTACTAAAGAAATTATTTATATAGGGAGTTGGTGGCCTGTGCAGAAGGCGGTGGAAATCCTCAAGTCTCTTTATATTCCACGACCAGCTTGCAATATATCGCGAGCCTTGAGATCCCGAATGAGAATAACGCGCGTGATATTGCCTGCATTCAGTTTTCTTGCGATGGCCAGTTGTTGACCGTCATTACCGGCGAACCAGACTGGATGCTCCTGTGCTTCAATGTCGCGTCCAGAGCTCTTGACAGCAAAACCAGGGCTAATATGGCAGCCCAGCCAAACGTGCCAGTTAAACAGGTTTGAAGTAATATTTTTTTTTTATATAATGCGGATATCGAAGTAATAAAAATTTAAAAACCAAACTTTTAAAAATGCAAAACTTATTTAAGTTTAAATATTATGCAACCTGATTGACATATATGCAAAGCGGGTTTGCATACGTTATATTTCTGCAGGCGTTTGTAAAAATCGCTTCAGCAATAATGAAAATATTATTAGGATTATTTTTTAAATTGATTAAAAATTTGCTATTAAAATCAATTAGAAATGAAAAGTTTATATGTGGTATTATATGCAAAATAAAATTTATTTTTTATTCCTTATTCTCCAATAAAATTCAGGTGGCATGCAATCCAAGTGACGCTGCAACTTTGGCCCTCGTCGGCCCCGACTTGTTCCGTCTGCTCCAACTGGTGGACGGCTCTTGGCGGCAGTTTGGCTTCTACAAAGCTCAGAGTTATCCCCTGAGCAGCGTGGCTTGGCTCACCTCAGACCGCATCCTCGCGGGAACCGACGATGGAAGGTTGCTGCTCATCGAATCCAACGAGCTGAGGGCTGTTTTCCGCGCCTACGGACTTCAAACTGTTGCTCTACCCCCGAAAAACGAGTTGGATTAAAAATATCAGCTGAATTTTAATATTAATTAGAACAAATTTTAGAAACTGGGAAGAGAATATTCCGAAACCTTCAAATGAAAATGTGACGTCGATCGTGTCCTTCCGCAAAGGATTTCTCGTTGGCTTTGGAAATCCCTGCCAGGTCACTCGATTCACCCTCGAAGAAGGTCAAAAGTATCACCTAAAAACCACCTACCGCCCGCAAGAAAATTCTGCCTCTGCTGTTTGGGCACTCGCGGCCAGCCCTGATTGCTCCGTCCTCGTTTGCACTTCTAAAGAGTCGCAATTTTTCCGCGCCCAGGTTTCATCTGTAGGCGAAAACGAGAAACTACAACCCTTTGGAGAACATTTGCATCAAGGGCCGGTGGTCAGCCTTTCCGTTTGCGTATGGAGGCCTATTTTCGTCACTTGCGGAGCTCTCGATGGAACAGTGCGCGTTTGGAATTACGAAACGGGGATGCAGGAGTTGCTGAGAAAGTTTGACTCGCCTCCTGTCAGCGTCTCCATTCATCCGCTCGGTGTGTGAATTTTATTTTTATTTAAGAAAAAATTTTAATTTTTAAATAAACAAATCTTATATTATTTATTATTCAATTCGACATTGTGTGGTTGTTTTAGGTTTATATGTTTTGGTGCTCTTTAAGGAATGCGTTTGTTTGATGAGCATCGAATTAGACGATCTGAGAATGATTAGAACTGCTGCTGCTGCCGATTGCTATGAAGTGCAGTTCAGTCCCGGTGGCGATTTGTTCGCAGTCGTTTACGGAAATAAAGTCGACATTGTTTCAATTGTCTCATTTGTCAGCAAACTTTCACTTCTGGGGCACCGTGCAAAGGTAAAACCTGTAATATATTTTAGAATTTTTTTTTTGATATATTTTCTAAATTATATTTTACTTTTTTCTAAGTATTGATGAATATATTTTAAGACTGCAGTTTATAGATAAAAAAAAAGCTACTCGACAAATTTTTAATCAATCATCAGAAAACATAAAAGCTAAATAGAATAAGGAAAAAAAATTTGACGTTAATTGGCACCTCTCCTGATTTCACAATAAAAATTCTTATTCCGCGATTTCAAATCCAGGTTGAAAGTATTGCATGGTCTCAGGACGGCACAAGGTTAGTGACCTGCGGTGCTGACGGCGCCGTTTATACGTGGGACTCTGCTAGTGGTGCGAGGCTGGAGGAACTGGTGACCAAAGGTTGCCACTTCCTGGGTGTCAGCACCATCAGCAGCGGCAAAACCAATTTCCTTACAAAAGGTGACGAGATAGTTCAGGTCGTCAGCGAGAATCAGGTTTGCGCAAAATGTGGAATTTTTTGTAAAACTCTGCTCGACACGGTGTTGGCAGGTGGAGCGAGTGGTGCAGGGGCCAGAGGGCAAAATAGCGGTCGAACTCACTGTGACGAGCGTGACTCGGAACGACAAAACTTTGCTGGTGGGAAGCAGGTGCGGTTCGCTGATTGCTTACGCGCTGCCCTTCAATGACGACGAGCTAGTCAGTGCATTTTGCTGCATTCACAGTGCTCCAGTGACAAAGGTAGTTTATATTGAATTTATCAAACTATTTATAAATAATTTAAATAAATGAAACTAAAAAATTTGCAAAAAAATTAATTCAACAGAATAATTTAAAATTAATCAATGCAATAAAATAAAGAATACAATCAAAATTTATCTACAATTCAATTATTTAGCAGATTTTAGTTCAATAAATATATTAAATTTTTTATTCAAACAAGAATAATTGGGTTTTTGATAATTAAATTATTTAAAAAAACAAATATAATTTTTTAATTAAGTTTTTTTATCTAAAAAAATTTACTGGAATTATTTATTTATGGAATAATTAGAATTTGTTAATTAGATAGTGAGTTCCTACGATTGCACAATTTTGTTCTCCTGCTCCGAGGATGGCTCAATTTGTATTTGGAATTTGGAGGACAATCGGGCTGAACGCTCCGAAGCGCCGATAGTTTCGGTGGAGAAAGTCCTGATCGGTCGGAGAAATTTGCGCGACCTGAGCGAATTGAACAAGAGCTTGTCGTCGCGCCTGAAGTACCTGCAAACGGAAAAAGAGGACACCCTCAAGTACCAAGAGATGATCTTTGGGAAAACCACGGCCGAGATTAGCGAGCTGAGGGACAGAGACGTGGCGGAAATGAGACGGGAAATGGAGCTAATGACGAACAAACACGCTGAAGAGCTGCGCGAGAAAACAAGGCGATTCGAGCTCGTCCTTAGTGAGCACGAAACTACGGTGGCGAAAATGGATAATGCGTACCACGAGAAGCTGATTGTTCAGTATAAAAAGGTCGAGCAACTCCAGAACGAATTGATGCAACAGGAAAATCATTACAAAGAGTTTGAAAAATATTTTTATATATACAATTGTTCGAAAACCATAAAAATTATTTTTGCAGATTTGTGTCAAAAATTAGAGAAAACGCAGAAGAAGAATTCCAAGACATGCAAGCAAGGAATTCCCAAAATGTTTTAAAATTACAGGAACAAATTAAAGAAGTACATAAATATTTTGTTCTATTCTGCAATAAAAAAAATATTATTTAGCTACTTGAAGATCGAGAGAAAACTAAACTAAAACATATAGAAGTCGTGCGTGCTATGGAATTTGATACCGATAAAGAGGTGATAGAGTTGAAAGTGCAGCATGAAAAAGCGTTGAGACAGCAAACGGAGGTTTTAGAAAGGACCCTGGGCCAGCTCCAGAGTGCCAAAAAGAAAATATCTGGGTAACTTTTTTCATTGTTTTCGATTTTCAAAAATTCAACAATGCCATTTTGTCAACAAGCAAACATTCTTTTAATTATTATTGGGTACGAAAACAAAACTTTTGGTGTTTTTAAAATTTTTAGAAATCAAGAAGTGATCATGGAGTTTGAGCAGCGCATCGAGGGTCTCCTGGCAGAGGTCGAACAGCTCAAGGGCACCGTGTCCAGTCTGGAACAATTCATCGAGGAGCAGAAGAAGTTGATGGCGCGAAATAACATCATCATGGGGAACAAGGAGAAGGAGCTGATGAGCACAAAACGGCAGGTCGAAGAGCTGGAAAAGGACAAAGCCAACGTCAGTCTCCACCTTGACCTCATGACCAGGCACATCGAACCCAAGGACGCGGCCATCAGGGAGAAGATCCAGGAAATTGAACAGGTTGAAAAAAAAATAAACTTCAATTACATGATGTTTAAAATTATATTTAGGTGTAAATTGTAATGAGTAAAAAGTTTTAAAGTCGAGATTTTGCTTAACAAAGGCCAATTAGTTTTCGATTTTTTATTTTTTTATTTACTGTGTAGCAACAGTTTGTGGAAGATATTTCCAATTTAAAATAATTAATTGATTTGATCAAGTGGGATTGAATTTTTTTAAAGTTAAAATTGCTCCTATTATAGGAATTTTCTTAAATTAACTATATTAAAATGAATGAAAATTCCACAAAAATCATCAAAATATCACCCCCAATTAATTGAGCATTAATTAAATAAATAGGAAGCTCCGTTTCAAAATTTATACGTATTGTGCTTATGGGTAATACTATTTTTTTTTTTTTTAGATAACAAGCTTCTTGTTAAACACAAATGTTCAAATTATTTTAAAAATAACTCGCATTGAAATTTTGCAGCTGACCAATGAGCTGAAGGTGGAACGGAGCTGGAGGGCTCAGCTTGAAATTGACAAGTTCAATTTGCAAAACCAAATCAAGCAGAACCAAAAGCAGGCCATCTGGGAAAAGACCAAACACCGCGACACCCTGCGCGACATGCAACGCATCAGGGCCAGGGTGCACGAACTGGGCGCCGCCCTGCAAAGGCCTCGCCGACTCGCCGAACTGGCCTCGGTATTTTGTGATCACTATTTTTGTTTCTCCAAATTTGATTGAACTTTTGAAGGAATTGTACCAAGACTACGGTCGGCAGAAGGACCCCCTGCAGGACGAACACCCTGTCGAGGTGCTGTTGGAGATGAAGCGGCAGGTGGAGACGCTGCAGACGCTCAACGCGTCTTTGGTGGAGAAACTGAGGGCGCAGGACGACCTGCACCGGAGCGAGAAGAACGCGCTCAAGAAGGAGTGCATTAGTCTGATGAAACAACTGACCAAGGCGCAACAAGAGACGAACGACGCGCGAGCCGCGAAAGTAGCAGCCGAAGAGCAGGCGAAGGAAAAAGAGTGAGAAAAATGAGAATGTCAAAATTAAAAGTGGACTAAAATATCTTAACAGTTCATAAGTTTCATTAAATTCATTTTGGGAGTTTTTTTTTTAAATGATGGTGCTTTTGAGAGAATCAATTGAGTCTTCTGACTTGTCTCTCCACACCTTTATTTAATTATAATCAAATGTTAATTTATTTAAATAGTAAAATGCAAAGGGGAAATTATAAAGATAAAATTTATGTGAAAAACAGCATCTTTTTTTATAGTAAAGTATTTAATAATAAAAAATAGTATTTAAAAATGTAATACAATTGATGAATTTTACAGTTTTTATAAAGTTTAAGAATATTAAATAACATTTATTAAATTTGTGCACTTTTTTTTAAAGTTTATGTAATTTTTAATAAATAAATAATTTAAATATCCTAAAATTGCAGGAAATATATTTGATATTTAAATTAATTTTAATCTCCTTGTTAAGTGTATTTATTATCTATGGTAAAAATAGCAATAATTGTGCTCAATTTTGCTCCCATCATTTATATAATTATTGAGGAAATTATCACCACTACATTAATAGAACGTTAATTTTATCTCAAACTTGGAGATTAAGGCAAATTGAAAAATCACTTTTTCATTAAATCATTTGATAAAGAAATTAAAATCGCAGTACAGCTGAGATAGGCCCCCTGTGTGGTAAAGCCGAAGAAAATTGACCGAGCTCGGGGAGACCAATTAAAAGATAATGCTCCGATAATTAAGTGGAACACGGAGGGCAGAAGCGATGCGGCGTCTTTTGCAGCTTGTGTGCTTTGGGGTTGTTTTCGCTCATAAGCCGCGTGCGCGCGTATTTTGTCTGCGGCGGCAGCGGCGGATTCAGAATTAATTGAGAAAGGCTGCGTTTAATGAGAATTCGCTCTTTAATGCCGGTGCACGCCGAGGAGCAACTCAGTCAGTGTTTCATGGAGTGGAAAACTAAAGGCAAACACTGCACGGATTTGGCTGCGCGCAATTGTCGGACGACCAATAGGCGAATAAGCTTGGCTATTTGTGTCTGAAATGCTCGGCGGCGGCGGCGAGTGATGCGTCCGACGAGATCACGGCGCGGTGAAATTGCGTGAATGCTGCGCTGGTGGAGGAGAAGAAAGATTTATACCGTCGGGTGAAATCAATCGACAGTGTTTCTTCTGCTCAGCCTGCCTTTGATAGCTTCCGATTTATTACACCAACTGAGCGTAAAACAGACAATAGACACACAATTACGAAAGAAAATCGCAAAAGAATATTAAACGCATTGAAAATCAAGTAAATTTTGCATTTTATTGAAATTTAAGATAACTTAAGACCCTTACAAACTATAACTTTTTAACCAGAAATGAATTAAAAAATAGAAACTGAATTAAAATAAAAAAAATTCTAGGCTACTGTGTTTGCTTGTAAAAATCAACTGCAAATAAAATTAAAAACAATAAGATTATCTTTGAAAGGATTTTGTTAGAGAATTTTCATTTTTATAACGAACATTTCATTTTTATTTGTGGCAACAACAATGATTACATAGTCCATCAATAAGTGCTGTTTTAACATGTGTGTTCGCGTGTTTTTCCCACCTTACTTAAATGATATATCAATTAATTAATTAATTAATTGTAATGCGTGTCATAAGTATAGTGGAATTGCATTTAATATTGTCTTTTATTCGTCGTCCGTGCGGATAACGAGAGATGAATGAAATTTCTCATTTTGTTCTGATTTGGATATGTTCAAAATTGGATAATTCATTTATAGTATATTATGGAAATGATCTTGTAATTGAAAGTCCCGAGTGAATTGTTAATTCCCATCATTTTTTTTAACAATTAAAAACAATAAGTCAAAAATCCCTGATGGATTGTTGGCATTCGTTACTTTTGTTGGGGGTACAGTAAATCTGCAGTAAATATTTTCTTTCCACATTTATATCCCGCTCCCTCAGCGTTCATTCTCGCAAATATATTCATCACCGAAAAAAGGCGCGACATAATCTAACAAGTTTATCAATCTGCACGTCTGAAATTGCAGCAGACATTCAGTACACTTTAGCGTTTTAAGATTTTTATCTTTTATGATTATTACATCGGTTTGTTTAGTTTACCATTTTTAAGAACTTTTAAACGATTGAGAGTTTGTGTTGATTGATCGTAATAATTCTTTTTAAACTTAGGCCATTGATTAAAATGAAATATTTATAAAAAAACTTAAAAGTAAAGAATTATTATTTCAGATTATATTCATTAAATAAAAGATTTTTTCATAAATTTATTTCAATAAAAAATTGGTTAGAAACAGGGTTTTTTCTTTTTACATTTTAACAAACCAATGGCCTACCATTAAAATTTTTATTTCCATTACAATTTCAAATAGTGAGAAAGGAATGCACTGAAACCCTTAAATGCAACGGTCATAAGAATTATTATTGTCATCCTGCAGGAACGAAAAGTCGTCAAAATTCCTTTTCATATTTTCTTTTATATTTTAGAAAAACCGCGCTTTCTTAATAAATTTTTCCGTTTTCCGCCAATTTAAATTTTTACTCCTCACGTGTCTCAGTCCTTCTGCCGTCGTCGCACAGACACACACAGCCCCTGCAATTAGGGGTTGAGAATTGCGTCCGTCGGCACCTTTTATGCGGAGAGCAGTCGAAGGGTGGCCAGGGCCGCGAGAGACAGCAGCGCCGCAGGAAGACTGGTGGCCGCCGCGCCGACCTCGTTGTGCATCACCCACGGGTGTCGCGTCGTCTTGGGGGCGGCGTCCATCGGAGGCGGCGTCGGCCGCATCTGCTCCGGTGGCGACGGCACCATGCTGGTGACCTCCTCGGAATCTTCATCCTCACCGCTCGTTTCGTCCACGCCGACTGGTTTCGGCTTCTTCGGCTTGCGGCGCCGCTCCTTGTGTTGCTTCACCACCTTGTGACTCGGCGTTGGAGGCCTGGGCGGCGGCAACGTCGTCGTCGCCGGAGGCAGTTTGAGCTCTGAAAACAGGAAAAAAATCTCATTATCTAATTGGTTTTTATAAATAGATTTTCCATCAATGTGTTTTTTTTCCAAAGAAAAAACTGAAAATAATTTGAAATTGAAAAAATCTCTTCTTTCAAATTAATAATGATAAAATGTTTAAAATGAAATAAGAATATATAATATATTTAACTTTAATTTTGGTGTTATTTGCCTAATTGTAAGCTTCTTTGCTGAGTTTTTTCTACTTTTTCGCCAAAATTGAAGAATTAAACTGTAAATTTAGTTTGATAACCAACTTTAAATTTTATCACTGTTATTATTATTTAGACTGTGCAAGAAAGCAGTTGCTATTGATTTATTTTAAATTTTAATTGGATGTGGTAAATGGTCTGAAAGTGCCTGCAAAAAGTACATCTATATAAATATGGAAAATTTTTACTTTCACGTCACTTATTTTGTAACTCTACGAGAAATTTAAAATTCTGGAATTAAATTCCTAATTTCTTTCTTGGAAATAATAATAAAATCTGATATCCGAATAGTTAGTTTTCGTCAATAATACGTTCTATTCAGAATTACGTTTCAACAAACTTTTGGCCGCGGTGACTAATTAGTTGCTCCACATTATTTCAGGCCACCCCGAAACTTAACCTGCCAACGGTGATTTACAAACATCCGCTAAATTATCCCGAGGCCGCGTCACCGCGGACCAATTAGTCGGCCTGTTTGCATTTAAAGCGCGCGCTGATTTGCGTGTCACGTTACAACGGTGTGTTTATGCAGCGGGGGCAAATTAATTTAGCAAGCTCTTAACGGTTAAACGTGACGAGTTCTAGTTTCTTCGATACTTGATACGCCCAAGAAAGGGTTCGGCTAATGTTGTACGAGTCACACGCCATCCGGTTTCTGCGAGGGTGGAAATTGAATATGGTAATGTCAGGGTTGGTTTAATTAAAAGGATTAAAAGCAAGCCAAATTAATGAAAATGACGATTGATGGTTTCTTATGAAACGTTAAATTTGTAATCAATAATGAAAAATTAAATTTAAATTGGCACAAATTAGATTTGTTGAATTGAATTATAGGCTGTTCCTTGTTCATAATTTTTGTATTAATTAAAAATAACAACCTTTTTTCCTTTTTACAAATGTTATTATGTAGGTAATCAATATGAAACGCTATTTTGAAATCTTAGTTAAGAGTATAACTCTATTCACATTTTAACCAAATTACATACTTATAGTGCAACTTTACCTTAAACTAATTTAAATTTTGATTATCTACTAATATTGACATAATTATTACCATTATTACAAACAGTGCTCGGATGTACAATGCAATTTTCATTTCAATTTTCAATATTAAACGTAAGTGTCGGATCGAAATAAAATAATTTTTTTTAAATATTAAAACACTTGAAGAAAAAATTACAAAAATACTGTAAATTAAAACTATTAATAAGTTACAAGTAAATAATTGTTATGATAAATTTAAATATTTTTGTTTGATAATTAATATTAATTAAATTTTCACACGAAAAACACAATTATTTTAAACAATAAAATTTTATACAACATACTATATTAACCATATTAACAAACAATATATAGCTCAAATTTTATTAAGTGCTAAACTGGTTGCATAATGTCTGCAACTGTTTGTTGAAATAAAGCAGACTGCCTTGATTGGAGCGTCATTGACGAATTTTACGAGTAAATCGATTGTGAAGCGGGGTGCACACGAAACAAAGCATTATGGAGGCATCTGATTAAATTGTCTCGTGAGCATTACGCTTTTTGCGCGACGGGCCGCCGGGAGGCAGAAAAAGAGGGTAAAAAACCGTTCAAGTGGTGCTCGTTCGTTCACTTGCCTGCGCTCTGACGGAGAACAAAAAATAGCAAAAAGTGGCTCTTTCGCCGAACGCAGCGAGTGGCGGCAGTAAAATTTTTATCTCGGCGAATTGTTTCGTGCATTCCGCAAACTTCATAAATTTCGAGCAAATCGTTGCAGGGAGATAAAAGCGAATGGGCCATTGTGTGCAATACGGTGGAGCAACGTCACAAACATACACTCACGCAGCCTCCAACCCCGCATCGGCCGGGCAAAAATCGCTTTCCCAGTTAAATTTGATCATCTTCGGATTCCGCGGGCTGCACTCTCGCTTTGTTTCGTCCGCTTACCGATTGTGCGCCCACGTATATTTGGACTAAAGCACTTTCCAGGCAGAACAATTGAGAGAGAGAAACTTTTGAGCTTTTATGCCGAGAACATTTTTACGGTTGAGAGCACACGCGGGAAATTTAATGCGGTTGTGATATTTTTAATATACCAAAGGTTTCTTCGTTTCATTCACAAGAAAAATTGTTATTATTAAAAAAAAAATAAGTTTGTCAATTAATTATTTAGTGAAAATTAAAAGACAATAATTGTTTAAAGATTTTTTTAATTAAGAATAAGTGGAAAGTTTGGGGGCGGATAGAGAAACCTTATTTTATTATAATATAAATAAATTTTCAATTTTTTTCTGCAAGGAAGTTTAATTGGATTTCTTTCCAGGCAATGAATATCAACGTGTGTACGTGTGACGTAAATTTGCTTTGGCGCACAAGAGCACACGATATGAAATCTTTCGCTCCAATTGTCAGCGTCGAGGTTCTGGAAAACTGTTTCGAACTTTAATGTAATCTACTTTGGAATGCACCGGAATGCTCTATCAACCAACGACTAAAGGAAAAACGTTTTCAAACTAACGCTGAAAAACCATTTTCTGCCTACAATTATGTTCTCTTTCTCTTTTGTTTATTTAATTTGGTTGAATTCATTTATATGAGGTAAAGTTGCGCTTAATTCTGAGTCCAAGAAATAAATGCTATACTTATATTTTTTAAATTTACTAATTCAAATTGATTTTCTTGCCATCTCTGTGTATATGGAAATAAAAATGAGTCATTCATAACAAAAGAATCGGAGCAACGCATTAAAACTAAAAATGCAAAAACAATGGAAATTCCGGCTTTCACATTTTTTTTTTTTAATTGAGGCTATTTATTGGAAGAATGCGACATATAATTGAATTTTATTAATTTTTTTTATAACTAATTGGATTTTTTTGCACAAATTATAAATTATGCCAACTTTTTCTCCAAAATTCAATATAATGTAATTATAAACATTTCTTGTTGTTGGATTTCACGTTGGCATGAAGTAAGCGGCTGCGGCTAAAGCCCAAATCGGCACTCTCGGCCGACTAATTCCACCTGTCCAGATAACGGATCTCATTTCGAAAGTGGAGAAATACGGGTGCGTATTAAAAAGCAGGGGCGCGCGCAAAAACCGTATTATTCTCCCCTGGTTCGAAAGCTGCCCTTGTTAGTCCTTTTGTTTGGGGAGCATCGATTGAATTTCGGCGCATATATACTCTGCACCGAGACCGACTCTCAGCCGAGTTTGAATTTATAGACGGCGAGTTAAATGGAGCGGAGCAGCTAGTAAGCAAGCGAGCACAGTTTAAATTACACGGGGCGCTGTGTTTTAGTTGCGAGCAACAGCTGCGGCCGAAAAATGGCGAATGCCCGCGATTTTCTCCGTCTCCCTCTCTCGTTTTATTAAATTCCGACGCTCTATGAAATTATTTTCCAGGGGCCGAGCGTTGATTTAAAAAATATAACAGAGTTTTCTATATAAATTGAGAAAATCGCATGTGCGCGATTTTTTGCCCTCTGACGGGCGACCCGGCGATTTTTTTTTTATCTCTCTCTCGTCTTTTTAGTTTTTGTTGCTAAGAGAATATCTCGCAATCGGCACGCAGCTGTTTTTTAATTATGCTCTCGTCGGCGCCGAAATGGGGAATCCGAAGCATTTAGACCTGCAAGTTTTCATATGAGAGGGAAAAGCAAAAGCTCATGACTGAGCCTTTAAAAGCGTTTGGATTACATTGGGGAGTGTTAAAATGTTTTGAAGCTTAAAATTGTATTGATTTTTTTTATTACTTTAATAATAATTTTTAATAAAAATATTTTTAATTATAAAATTGCAATGTTTACAGCATATTATTATTTTAAATTCATGCATTTATTGCTTTTTTTAGTTAATAATATTTATATTATATTTATAAGTAAAATTTTTAATCCAAATGTAAAAAAAATAAGTAGTGCCAAAGCAAAGATTTGTTCTAAATGGGCTCAACCTAATGACATTTCAATTTAAGTTCTAAGTACTAATTATTGTTGTTTTGTTCATAATATTAGTTTTTTCACAAAAATATATTCTGATGGCAATCAACCGAAAAAAATAGGAATACTATATATAATTACATAGAAGATAAAACAAATTCAAATGAAAACCTTTAAATAATTAATAATGAATAATAATTGGCTCTAATTTAAAATAAATTTTGGAAAGCCGCTCATGTTATGCCATATTTTTCATAAGAATTATATACGGAGGAAAATTTCATAAATTTATTTATTTAATCTACCATCAAATGGTAATAATATCAACATTAATTTATAAAAAAAATGAAATGTTTAATAATTAGGTTCATATCTCAAAATACTCTTTTCAGCGTAACGCAATGCAACAAATTTAAATATAAAAATACTTTTTTCACTCCCACGCCATTTTCACATTTAAATTCTCATTCCTTTCGCTCAAAAGCACCAACATTAATTTTTGCACTAACCTTGCAGTCTAACACCCGCCTCGACCCTGCCGAGTGCGTTGCTGGAAAAGCAGAGGTAGCCGCCGAAGTCGCGTTTCTCCAAATTCCTGATGGTCAGGTTCATGTAGAGCGAGTACGGGGTGATTGCGTTCTCCGCTATCACGTACTTGTTGGCGTTTTCCATCAGCTTCTCGCCTGTTGACAACACAGAAAGAAAATTTTTACCCTCGTTTCGTTGCGCAAAATGCACGTCGGTTAATCACGCCGCAGCAGCGACAGAATTAATTTTCCCACGGGCACTGGATTCATTAATTAAGCGTAATGGCAGCTTTGCGACTCCCCTGGCGCTTGATCGACTGCATTTTGTCACGCTCAATCAAGTGCAGATTCGCCTCGTGATCACGCCGTTTCTAATCAGGGTGACGTGCGGCTCACGGGATCACAGAATAAAAACTCTCCAAAATTTTTAAACGGCACTGGCTGCAAGTCACATAGTGAATGTTCTTAAAAAATATTGCTATTTATTGAAATTATTTTTATTATATATATATATTTTTTTGAATCGTTACAAGTATTAAAAAAATCGTAAAATATTTTATAACTTTGTAATTTGGGTGTTTTTAATAAATCAAAGATCAGATACTAGACAGTAATTATGATGAGCGGTTATAAAAAAAAGTATTTTGTAATAATTTCCGATAGATAAATAAATTACCATAACATAGCAAAAATTATTAACAGTGGCAGTAAAATTGCATTTATGTGACTAGCAAATTAGATTAAGTTAATTTTTCAGCTGCAGAATAGAAAATATAAGCAAATTTTTACTTTCTTACGTAACTTTTTTACTAGTGCAAATAAAACCCTAATTAATTTGGTTTTTTTACGCTATACTTTGATTGATTTACCCAGTCTTATTGAAAATGGAGATTTTAAATAAACTAATAATGACGTTTATGTGGCTTAAGATTGCGTGAATTTTGCTCATTTTATGATTTTAGTGGATGTCCATGTACATCAGAAAATATTGTAGATTTACTAAAATTTGAAAGTGTGGAAGAATCAGAACTTGACAAAATATTTACTTCCCCGAGAGGATTAAAAAACTTTCAGATATAATAATAAAAATGAAAATCAGACGACCAAATATAAGTTCCATTTCGTCCAAAGAAGTAAAGAGTATAGAAATGTGTTTTCTTTATTTACTTCACTTTTATGAAAAGTATAATGCAAATTAGATTTAGAATACAACATTAGAAAATAATTTATATTTAATAATACATTAATTAAAAATTCTTTAAAATTAAATAAAAAAGTATAATAATAGAGGTGCAAGTCGATAACGATTAATTGGACAGGCAATCATTCGACGCAAATAATGTGAGTAAAACTAGAGATTGCCATCAAGTCATCATTTTTCGAATGAAACGTGACTCTGGCGTAAAAAGCAGAGACCATTAAAAATGATCAACAATGGCTGGCGCAGGGAACAAAGCGAGCGAGTGGTGTCGTTGAACACGTCAAACGCGATTTGATTGCAGAGAGTGACAAGATTCACTTGATCCAGGCAGAGTAGAGATGAAAGTGGCGCTGGAAAAGCAAACACGATGGAGCGAATTGAAACAAAATTAATAGGGCGGGCGCGAGATGAAAACGGCGGCGGCGGCGGCACATTAAGTGGCGCGAGCTAGCGAACGAGTGAGCCGCCAGCTGCACTTCATTAAAACACAACTGTGTGGCGAGAATAAATGATTGAGCTCTGCTGGATAAGTAATTAATTTCGCCCGTCGACAATGACTGCAGTCGCTCGCCATTTAATTAAGGCTTATGCAACCGGCGCTGCATCGACGCTCGACTGCTCCGAGAAGCTGCAGCCAAACGACTCTTGCTTGCACTTGGCCCCTTGTAACAGATGCGCGCCCAACTGGCCCGACGGCAGTTTGCGGCCGCAGCTCCTCGAATTGAAATTGGTGCGAAAAGCCCGGACCAACTGCCGCTTTAAATCTATAATCTAGGCCCTTCCCTCTTGCATGCTCAAATTGGCTCTAACCAGCTTCCAGTGGATTTCATTTAGTTGATTATAATCTGACTGCGGTTAAGAAGTTTTACTTCCAAACAAATAAGATGTGGTCTTTAAAATGTTTGCATTTAAGTACAAAAAATCTTTAAAGAAAATGATTTTCTTTCAAATTCTATGTAAGTAAAATTAACAATATTGTAAGTTTGTTTTAAAATTCATGAAGTATAATATGATTTCGGGAGAGAAGAGAATTGGCAGCCAGCTCTAGTAAACAGCTTACTAAAATTTCGAAAGGTGGCAAGGTACTTGTTCAGATACTGATATGTTGCACAACTTTAAATAAGGAGAAAACAGTAATATATAAAGTAAAGAAAGCTCAAAACAAATTGCATAATTTGTTCGTGAAATATTCCAAACATGTCTTTCTTATCACTCTTAATTATATTTTGAATGAGAAAGTTGTCAGCTCTATAGATTGGTCATCACGTCGTCAGAATGAATTTTTTGCTGAATACAGTAGATCAAAAAGACGTTTTTACACCACTCTAATTATAATTTATATTTTTAATTTTCAAAAGTAATATTTCTTTAATTTTTATTGTATTAACAATAAACATCAGTAAATTTCCTCCCCTTTGAAACGTTTTGATTTTGAACATTTTAAGTGAGTGACGTAATTGGGCAATATTTTCAGATTTTTGTCTAATTTACAACAACAACACGATTTCTGAGAAATGGATGTGACTGGATGTCGTCCACTTTTTCTGAAGTTTTTCATAATTTATATTTATGCAATGAAATTTTAAAAGTTCAATATATTTTTCTAATGTGTTAATAATTTGTTCCGGAAAAATTTGTACATCAAATGAAAGCTTCTAGGTTCCTAGAAGGTAAGAATGTTAATTAATTATATTATTTATAATATTTCATATAGAAATTGCATTCCCGCAGTGTAAATTTATAAAAAAATTAGCTATTAAAAATGTATAGAAGTTGCACTATATCTTAAAAGTGCCATAAAATCTAGCAATTATATTACTAATGTTATTAAGAAGTAACTTAAAAATGAAAATATAGTATACTTTAATTTTATTTATTAATTTATATGTCAGAATAATTAAAATAAGATTTTTTAGTAGATTAATTTAAATAGCATTATTTTATAAACTAAAAAATTCAGTGACCTTTGAATATTGCAACGTCGTCTCTTGTTTCCAGACGACTCGTTTGAGACCCAGAGAAAAAAAAGGAAGTGCCGCCTCGAGCAGCAGTTATCGAAAGTTGAGCGTATATGCATGCGCCGGGGGATTTCGGGCGCATTTCAGACGAGAGAATAAAAGTTGGGTCGTCGTCAATAAAAAAAGGAGTTGGGAGGAATATATAGGAAGAGCGCACACACAAACACACACACGCCACATTATTAGGCGGCGGAGCAAGAGAGAGACCGATTGGAAATCGAAGCAAAAGTAGTACCAGCAGCGTTTTGATTAACCCGCACCTATTTTTGCTGACGCGGGCAATAAATAGTGAACGGGTATAAAAAGCAAGCAGGGGTTGTGGAAAATCGTCTCTTTCTCTCGTTTGTTGACCGACCTGCCCCCATCCATCCTCCCAACGCCAATAAAAGATCTCATATATTTATTTTGCTCCTTGATACAACTCTCGTTCTTTTTTTTTTTGCGCCACAACTGAAGAAGAAAACAATCAAGGGCAACCTGTTGAGTCTCACCTGCGAATGGGCGGCGAAAATCTGCTACGTGTTCCGATTGGCAAACTTTGTGCACGGCTGGCTCCGGAAAGACCCCTTTTTGCTCAATGTTGCACGCCGCCATAAATTTGGAAATTATTTTTTCGCTCGCCAAACACGCGCGCACAGATGTTCAATAGCCGCGCGTTTTTGGTTGTTGGTGAATTATAGGAGCACGAGCCATTTCTTTTTCGATTTCGCATTCAATTTGCCTCCAAAAGTTTTTCCTATTTTCCCGTTTTTATGGTCCTTGGAGGAGAATAACATAAATTTCGGAATGTGTAAGTGGTTTTTTAATGCCTCCAAAATTTTACTCCATTCGTATTGCATGGTAAGAAATTTATGCATTTTTGATCTAAAAATTTATTTAACTCTTTTAACTCATAACACGTAATTGAATATATAAATTTTGTGTTTTTAATTTCCTTCAAACCAATTTGATATACTTTTTTTTTAGAAAATGAACGCATTCTGGAAAATACTTTGATTTTTAATTATTTTAATTGGTTTCATCATCATTATTGTGCTGTGTTTTAAGCAGATTGTTCGAAAAAAATTACAAAGTTAATTGTTATTTTTGTTATGGCCCAACTAATGAACAGAAAATAAAATAAGCTAATTATTTTATTTATAAATAAAATAATTGGCTTCTCTGCAAAAACACAAGGCCATGTTTAATATTATCAGGAAGATAATTAAAGCCATTTAGTGAACGTCTTATCCCAATAATGAACACTAAATTCCTCAAAATTTGTTATAATTAGCCAATTATCTAATTGTAGTAAACTCGCCAAGGTTCTTTAAACTTCTAAAATTTCATAACCATTGGCTTTGGTCTCATGTTTTTGTAAACAGTAGAATAATTACTAAATCATAGAAATTTAAAAATGTGCCACCTATAAAATTCAGTTTTTTCATAAAAGAGTAGCTCTTGCAAAATATCAGAGAATTTGTTTCAAAGCAACCCTCCCCCTTAATAGATGGTGAGCAATTCTGACTGGCGTGAATTTTTCCTGGGTTAAAACAATTCTTTCGTGAACTATTCAAATGCCTGTAATTTTTTAAAGTAGGCAACCTGTGGTACGCCTGTCATTTTTTAACAAGGATAATTTATGTTATTTTATCGATAAAATTGACCAAATCAGCAAAACTTTAATTTTTTTTTTTTAGATTTAAATATTTTCGTTCAGTTTGGAGGAAGAAAATTATTGGACTTAAAAAATGCTTCTCACCTGTGTCTCTGTGCCAGCTATTCATAGCCTTGGGCGAGGCCTCCACGTAGCACTGGACAGTGACGTCGCTGCCTGCGGGGGCGGCCACCAATTGATTCGAAACCTTGATCATGGGGTGGACTGCAACAAAGAACGAGCGTCGACTGATTAATCCGCCGGCCAAATTTACGACTTGGCGCCTGCACCAATTTAAATGAAAAAAAAAGAGAAAAAAGTTTCCAACGCTGCGCTAAAATTCCATTGTGTTTCGCATTTGGTATAGAAAGAAAAAAGAAAGCAGCAGTCGATATACGCAAACACGCAAAAAGGCTCCGTTATCATTACTCGGAGGAGTCCTACTGCGGCGCAGCGCTGATTGAGCGGCAACGACGCGGATGCGAGCGAGCGAGTTTCTCTCTCGTTGTTGCCACTGCTCAATTTACTAATTGCTCCCGGATGAACGGCGGCGACCAGGGGGAAAATTAAAAGTATGCTGCCGGCAACCGCATGGGGGAAGAAAAAAAAATGAGAGATAATGTGTGCAAAAAGAATACAAAAGCGGCGGAGAATTTGAGTGAAACCAAAACCTAAATACATAAATTGAAGATAATAATTGTCCCTTTTTTGTTTTTAAATTTACTTAATATCATTTATATTAAATAGATTTGAAAAAAAAATACGCATTCAAAAGGATATTTTCAATGGCCCTCTTCTGTTCTTATTCTTGAATTCCAAAGATCACAAGATTTTATGCCTGAGCTCAGAAAATTTTAGCACATAAAGGTTAAAACCAGGGCTCATCTAAAGTTCTAATTTTCTTACCAAAAGCATTTTGAACCTTATCGTCAATCAAGGTTGTTAAAACAATAGATTCAATACAACAATAAAAGTTCTAGTCTAGGTTCAAAAAATGCTTTTGGCGAGAAAACGTTCAATTTTACTCATTTTCAACCCTTTTTAATGCGAATTTTATGATTGCCATTTCAACTGCAGTCAAAATATTATATTTTATGCTATCATTGCTATCAATTTCAGGAATAAAAAAATTATTAACTGGAGAGGCCTTTAATAATCCAATCCTACAATTAAGGAACATAATTTTTTTAATTAAAATGATGACAAAACTTGATAAATAAAAAAAAAACACGTGTATAATTTTCAATAGAACAGAACCTTTTGAATGGAGTTCCTAAAAATCACTCACAATGGACGTTGACGGCAAATCGCCTGCTGACAGAGGGCGGAACACCGTTGGAGGCGATGCACAGGTAGTTGCCCATGTCGGAGCGCACCACGTTGGTCAGCAAAAGCACCTCGCCTTCGACAGTGCGCACGACTGCAATCACAAAGCATACAACACTCTCGTAAATAACTCAAATGGACGTGGCACTTCACTTGCACACCCTCACACACACACATATCAACAACAAAGCACTGAACGTGCTCTATGCTCTCTCTAGCCAACACTAATAACTCCAGAGTGCAGAAAATAATGTGGGTTGCGATGAAATTTATTCAAATAATTACTCTTGAAAATTAAAACAAACGTTTATGCTGTTTGTTAGCAAAAGAAGGTTTTCAAAGTTAAAAGAAAAAAAAAGAAAAGATTTATTTTCCAAATAAAAAGTTTAGAGATTGAGAAGGTCAATATTTAACATATTATTGAATAAAAATTGTGAGATTTTAAATCCTACACAATTACAACTTTTTTTCAATATAAATTTACTTATAAGCAAATTTTTTCATTGAAGTTACTTTAATTGTCCCGATGAATTCAAAATAAACACAAAACTTTTTAATTTAAGTGTTGAATTGATGTTAACAGCAAACGTTAACCTATATTAAAAACATATTATGTATATGTTTATTTATAAAATGTGTAATTATTAGAAATTAATCTTACCTCTAATAATTAAGACCTTTTCGAGCGTGCATTACATTTAATTTGGGGTTGAAAATTAATATATTTGAAGTCAAAATTTATTTTTACATAGTTGCAAATTGTGTTTATATCGTTTATATTATCAATTTATTTAGGTTTTGCAATGCAGTTATGCTTGAAATCGCAAAATGATTACTGGAAATTGTAATAATCAATATTTAAAAATTAAAAATTTAAATCAATGCAGGGATTTCAAGCACCTATTTAATTCTCACTCAGTCAATTGGAAAATTTGTATGGGTCTAAATTGAAAATTTCTTCGTGTTTTCATTGCTGTGTTAATCATAATTTAAATACTTACAATATTTCAAGATTATTTTTTATTTTTAGTTCAACTTTTATTTAAAAATAAAAAAATACCCGCAAACTTTCACTTTAATAGGCATCAAAGAGGAAATATAACTTAACAGCTTCTCGCAAATTTCAACATGAAAAAATGTTTCCCTGCCTGAAAAAAACTTGAGCAAACAAAACGTACTATATACAGCATCGGATGGTGCGCACGTACGTTTTTCAGAGCAAACAAACACGCGGAATCGACGTAAATATTGCCGCAGCCGCCGTCGAACAATGCGGCGGCTTCGTATATACGTACGCAAAGCCGGCACTAATTGCAAATGGACCGTGTGCGTGCGTGTGAGCGCGCGCGCGTGTGTGTCGCATTGTGTGTGTCACTCGGATCAGATTCGGAAAGATTGGCTTGCAAATTCGGCTCGCAGCAGCTGATGTGGTGCGTCCGAGCAGCAGATAAATCAGGACCCGGTGGTATCAGCTGCGTCCAAACACGCGCCCACCATCGCACACCATTTCACTCTCGCTTCGCATTGTGCTCTGCGACGAGAGAGGAGCTTTTTATTCGCAGGCAAAAATCGCTCTCATCATCATCATCGTCGTCGTCGCCCAACGTCGTGTGTTGTTTGCAAACAGGCCGAGCGCATGCTGGGAAATAATTGCGCTTCACTATCACCCCGTGATTAACAACGTTTTTGCAGCCGCCGCGCCAATATTTGTCCAAGGGAGAGTAAAGCCCCGTTAATTTGCCTGTGCCGGCCTAATCAACCGCCACCATTTGCCAACAATGCACGTAAATACACTTAGCGATGATCAAACGGTTTCAATGCAGATTCGTTCTAAGTGAATTCGGGAAATTTTGAACTTATCAAATTTAATCACTATTTCATTTCAGTTGATAGAAGTTTAATTGGGAGAAAAACCACGAAAAATGAATCTTTTATTTAAATTTTGCATACAAACAAATAAATTAAAAACACGAGCTTTCACCTTGATGAATAAACGTTTTATTGATTTTATTCACAAAAAACGGCATCGTCGATTATGATCTGCAATCTGCAACTTGATTCTCAAGAAATAATACAAAAAATCAGCAAACTTTGATTTTTTTAGTGCTCTTCTTGTTCAAATATTGATTATTTTTTTTTATCTAAAATTAATAACCGTGATATAGCCTATTAAATAAAATAAATTGAATATTTAAATGAGTTTTTACTGCATAATCTTGTACCGAATAAAGTTTGAAAACGTTTGATCATACAACTTTCTCCTCGAGTACTCACTTTTAAGAATATTTTCAAAAATTTTAGAAGTTGGTTATGTTGATCTGCGTTGTGATCTTTAATATTCGTACAATACAAGAGTAAACTCGAGCTTAATAATAACAAGTCTATTTTAGTACCGCGTTGGTTGTTCTTCAATCTTCCATTGAATCACTATAAAAAGGAATATTATCCAATTAACAGAAATTATAATTATGAATAATACCAAGGTCAAATCTGTCAAATGATTTTGACAATAGAATATCTTTTTTGTCAAGATATGAATATATATATTGAAACAGTGTTGTAAGGAAATATTTATACATAAATAAAACTAGTCAAATATTTTTTTTTTTATGTCTTAATAGTTTTAAATTCTATTTATCAATTTATTTTACATAAATAACTAAAATATAAAAAATTAATTTATATATAATTGTAAAATTATTTAAAAGATTTTTTAGTCTTTGAAATTTAATTTACTGATAGAGTTTGTTTATTAATATTATTTATTGTTTTATTTAGTGCATGTTAAGAAAATCATGCATGTAAAAACATCATAAATTAAATTACTCTTTAGGAAACTTGATAATGAATAATGTGACATGGACATCTGATAGTAATAAACTTTTTAAACTATCAATTTATCTATCTATCTTTAAATGTGTATGTATCTTGTAGCAAATGTACATATTTTCAGCTTGTATTTTGACAGTAATTTTCATTTTTTATTTGTCTACAATTAAAAATATTTTGCAATCATTAGTAGCCCTATCATAATTAATACCGCGCAAATTGCAGTACATTAAATGTAAAATAATTTATAAATATATACTTTAGTCGCTACAAATTTCTTTGCTCTTTTAACGCACAAAAGCGAAACCACCAACCTAATTAGTCTGCATGTCTCATTATTTTATTTTGTCGCTGGTTGTAATTGCTAAAATTGCAGTTAGAAAAAAAACTAGGCATTGCGAATTCGGAGAGAGTCTGGGCGCGACTCGGCGTTGTCGCGCGCAAGGAGCTTTTCTCGGGTGCTGCATTAACGCGAGTGGCCGTCCAGCTCTGCCTCTCTCTCTCTCATTCTGCTTTTCTTTCTTTATTATTTTAAAGTGGAGCAGTCGAGTCGCCGTCGTCGTCGGCGACGGCGGCGGCGGCGGCCGGCAGCGTGTGTTTGACAGAGATTAATGCGCGCCCGAGCCAAACTGCGCGCTGCGGTTTGGGCGCGCGAGAGCCATAAAGTGCCTTCTGGCCGGGCCTGCATTCAGGCCGATTTCGGCGCCGCCGACAAAAACGCAACAAAGCGCCGATCTTGGGCGACACGACTCTTCAATCAGCCTGTTGCCAGCCAAACAGAGCTAATTGCCGCTCTCTCTGAACGCCAAAGCCAGAGCAAGCACCCTTTTCCACCCTCCTCCGCCTCCTCCTCGTCGGGGGTAATTAAAAGCGGAGAGCCCCGATTAATTTCCTTGTAAAGAGATTTTGCGGCGGCCAGTCCGCCGTTTTCGGCCTTTTATTTCTCGCGGAATTACGCTGCCCTCGGCTTCATTACACGCGGAGTGTATTTTTTCTTCTCTTTCACTGAAAAGAGAGAGTATCGGGGGAGAGATTCTTCGGCTCCAGATAATGGGCTAGGGTCGGGTGATAAATTGCGTGTTTACTACTTAATCGACTTTTGAGCTCATTCACGGATCGATATAATACGCATTTTAATGATTAATATGCCAAATAGTCCATTTTGTCCCTTGAGCACATATTTTTCGGAAAAACAACAAAATTTCATCACCATGACTTTGTAACAAAAATATTAAAAATAAATTCAATAAAATTGTAATATTCAAAATTACAAAATGCATTTTAACATGATAGTTTTGGCCAGTTTAGAATTTTTATCCTGTTCTTTACAGATAAAAAAAATACTGAGTAAAATATTTTATTTAATACATTTAATTAATATTAGCATTAATTTTTTATGATTAAAGAAAGAAGTTCATCAATTTTGATGATTTAAAATTTCTTTTTGCTCATGAAACCATAAAAAATGAGGTTGCCTATCGAGACAGAAACCAGTAGAGCTGTTATTTTTTTATGTAAAACCAATTTTTTACAGACAAAGCTCGTGTTAATATCATTACTATTTTCTTTGACCCTAGTAAAGTACTTATTTTTTACATTGCCTAATAATTTAACTCGGCTTGTGGACTTAAAAAAAATTTTTTTTAAATTTTTTCACAATTCTAGTTACAAAAATATGCAACTGTTTTTGTTGTAAAATTGCTACTTTGTGACAGAAATAACTGAAATCATATCAATAAGATTTTCCAGGGAAGAAGATTGATTCCATTCCTTTTAATCAGCAAAAAGCTATGATGTTAAAGGAAAAATGTCAGTTCCTCAACCATAGTGAATTTGAATATTCACTCTGCTATCTGTAAATATAAAATCAGCGGAAATTCTTTCTCAAGTTGCCGACGCATTCGAACTATTCGCAGAATCGCGATCGATGAACATTTTCAATTATTCCGGCTTTGCGGCAAATTCACGGCAGAGCGCGGTCGGGCGAGGTGTCGCAGGTGCAATAAAACTCAAGACTTACGGCCGGACTAAACAAGCAAGATTAACAACCGCGCGCACCACTTGTGCAATCACGTGCGTCCAGTCAAAAATTATGCAGCAGGTTAAGGTGAAAAGTCGGGTTGGCTAATTAATGCCGCCGACCGAACACAAACAGGCAGATTGCGCATGCAAATTTCCACCCCTCCCTCGACTCGGCGAGGACCCCGAAAGTGAACAACACACTGCAGCCGTTCACGCCCGAGCGAGAAAAAGAGAAAAGGAACAACGACCGGGTCTTAAGGCGAGAGAGAGCAGAGGGCCTTATTTACACGCTTACTTTATTTCCATTTCAATAAAAGAGGATTTGGTAGCGAGAGAGAGCAAGAGCAGTGAGCCTTTTTCCATCAAGTGGATTTATTTGACATTAAAATTTAACTCGGCGAGTGAAGAAGGGAAATTGAAATGTCACGAGCGCCGCCCTTCGGTCCACCCGCCACGAGGGGAGCATTTTTCTGCACCGAATATTTTCACCAGATGATTTTCGTCGTGGTGATATTTATGCAACGCGCGCAACAGATTTGCTCAACTGGTCACATAGCTGCTCGGCTCGCCTGTCACTCTCACTCGCTGCCTCCCTGTTGTGACGCACGTCATGTGCCTGCTTTTGCATCCTCTCGCGAATTCAAGGTGCGCCTCCGTCGTGATTGTTGCCGTCCACTTTTTCTCTGCTTTCGACAAACACGTTTATTTCCGGTCGGCGAAGCGCTCGCTCCTTTCATCCAATTTACAGAGTTGCAAACAAGACGTGGGAGAGAAAAGCCTAATTAGGCTGGAGGAATTTATTTCCTCCTTATTTGGTGAAATTGATTTCTGCTTCAGATTTGAGCCTGGAGTTTTAGAAATGGAAGAATTATTTTAACAATCAGTAAATAAAATTTCTTTACCTCGTGAAAAGTTTTCATCTATAGGACTTGATTTGTAAAGAATTGAGAACAAATACAATTTTAATTTTAGCAAAACTTTAAAATTCATAAACTATTAACTTTACAGTTTATTTTTTATTTCATTATTTTGTGAATAAAAACTACTTTTTACATTTATGTTTGATAATATTATATATATATTTTTATTGATTTAAATAATTGTTGTTTATTGTTTAAGTTGAATATTAAGAATGTAGAGATAACACAATTTACAATATTAGCTGTAAAAACTACAGTATAAATAAAAATTTTGATGACGGCAGGATTAAGTATTCTTTTAAGTTATAATAAATTATAATAGCATCGCTTTTTCTGTCGGGAAACTAGAAAAACAAGTAATAATAATAATCAAGTGATTTAAAACTAAAGCAAAATTGAATAAATATCGCCATAAAATTTAATTGTACATTGACAAATATTGGATGTGGAAATAACACATTCATTTACTACAGAATAGAAAATAATCATTTCCAACGCTAGGATATCTATTTGTAAACATAGATTAAAGTTAGTTTTAATCTATTATTATTGTATAGAAGCTAGAACGAGCTGTTGAAAAAGCTGCTCTCACCATCAGTTTTAAACTGTTTTAATTAAACCATAAATAGTTTGAAAAACAAATTGAGATCTTGATGAATTTTTTGGTTAAATTTTTAACCTATTGTCAACATTCCCTTATTCTCAAAAAATATAAAAATAAAAATAGATTTGGGCTTAACCTTGCTGATTTTTTTTTTATTTAAGATAAATTTGAAAACTAGAGTTATTTTTTTAAAGTTATCTAAACATTGCATGGAAATAATTCACGTACTTATCAAAATAAAATGTATATATATTTTTCCACTCTCTCTATACTTTTGTTCGATCAATCTCACATTGTTCAGCAAAAAAACAAGAAAATCGGTTTACACTACCTTGTTTTTCCCGACTGCCGTCTTGTCTGAGAACGATGCTCTTGGAATCCTCTCTGCGCCAAGTGACGGTGGGTTCGGGTAAGCCGGTCGCCACGCACTTGATCTGCACCGTGCCTCCCTCTAGAGCGACGCCGTCTTCGGAGCTCTCCTTGTCCAGGATGTCCGGAGGAATCGTCACCTCAAGGTAGCCGATCTGTCAAAAAAATTTCAAAAATTTCAAGTAAATATTTGATTTGAAAACTTTCTGAAAAGGAAATATTTTATGGCATATGATGAGAGAGAGTATAATTCTTTGGCGACGATGAAAGCAGCTTTTCTCATTATTTGGCAGCAGCAGAAGGAAGTCTGTGTAGGAAAAATCGGTTTAATCAGCGGCGACATTTCTCGTCGAGTAATTAGCGTCTTAAAAAGACTGCTGAATAGCGTCAACTGAAAACTTTCTTCTAATGAAAAGCAAGCGGGCGAGCAGCGAGAGAAGAGAGCGGCCCTCCTTCTTTTCACATTGCATTATTTTGAGCTCATTGATTCAGTAAACTCTTGGCTGCGCCGACGAGCGAGCGAATTTAAAAAGTTTTAATGAAAATTAGCAGGCGCTGGAGCGACGCTCAAAGTAAATACCCGATGGATTATTATTATTTCGCCATCGAACCGAAAACGCAGGAAAGAGGGGGATTTTCCGAAAAATCAATTTCACCATCGGTCAATTTTCAGATTAATCTTTTCCGGTAGGAAAATATGCGACTAAAAGTGTTTGGAGAGAGGCGCAAAGTTCTTTTGTCACACCGTAGAGCGGCTTATCTAAATAACCCGCCGTCAAATTTATTCCATTTTCGGCGTTACAGGTGGAATTTTTCCCTCGGCCCCGCTCTGCCTATACCTCTCGCTGCAATTTGAATAATGTGATTCGCGGTGCTGAGAGGAGAAAAAAAACTGCCGAAAAGTGGCGAGTGCAAATTTTATTTTCCATCAAGTTTGCGTCTTCCGTGCGCATAGCCATGCCCTCGCATTCTTTACACATCCGATCAGGATTGAAAATTCGCCTGGAATGTTGATAGAAAAGGCCAATACAATTTTTTTTTCACAAAGCTTAGGGAGTTTTCTCAAATATTGCTATTAAAAAGGCATGATTTGAATTTCCTACTTCGATTCCCTGGTTATGAATTAATTTATTTATTTTGGTTTTGATTCAATTTAAGTCTTTTTAGTTCAAAACAGGTTAAAAAACAAATGAAATTATTGATTAAAACCACAAAAATTAAAATAGCGAAACTAACACCGACCTCAAAAGAGACTCTGCCACCTCAGAAAACCCACATTATAGGTCAAAAATCCCCCATTATTTATCACTACTTTGTACATTTTTCTATTCTTTTTATTAATTATTAGTAAGATATATTTTGCGTTTATGTGTAGTAAAAATAAGTGTTGTGATTTTTTAGCTCACAAGAGAAATCATTTGAGATATTTTTTCAAAAAATGATCTTCAATAAATTGAAAATATTAAAATAAAGTATCAGTTTGAATGATTAATGCGGAAATTTTGCATTTCCAACAATTAAATTTAATTTAAAAGGAAAGACATTTATTACAGCTTCTTGATCCTACTTGGAACCGTTGGAGCCGTTGAAATTCTAATGTGTATAGTTTTGATTGATGATAATTTGAAAATTAATCTGCCAGCCGTGAGGTGATTAAGGATTTGCAGGCGGGAACGGAGCAATTCAGAAGCGAATAAATGTTTTAATGATCCGTTGGAATCTCGCCAGCGCAGTGAAAGCAAGCAACATTCGCCCAGAGTGCACGTTCAGTGCGCGGTAAAGCTGTTTATTGAAATGCATATTATTGAATAGATTCAAAAGCGGCCGCAGAGATCAAAAGGGCTTTTGTCGATTCGCGATGGGATTTCTCGCCAGTGCAATCAAATCGTCCGACCGCGCTTGAAACCGCGCTGCTAAACGCCATTAAACGCCTGAAATCAGTAAAAAAAGACGTTGATTTTCATCTCTTTAGCATGAAGACCAAACAAAAAATAAAATTAGAGCGGTAAAGAATTAAACAGAATATTCAACAAGTAAAGAGTCAAGGAAAACTTCAACAAAAAAATATTTATTCAACTCAAAATAAATCAAAATTATTTAATTTCGTTACATTACAGTCCTTATACACATTTACATATTCATAAACCATTTTTTTATGCAGCAAAAAATGTTATAAATTAATAATTTAAATACAATGGCTTATAAATCATAACATTTAATTTTAAACTTATTAAATTTAAAAATGGGCTTTTACTATTTTAATTTTTTCTGAATAATAAATATTGATTGTTACAAATAATATATTTACGAAAACTTTGTTTCATTATATAATGAACGTGTCGATAAATATAAATATTAAATAATTTTGCAATGATCCAGCAATCTAATTACTAACCTTACTAAAACAAAATACGTATTATGTGTCCAGTTTGAATGGAATATCTGTTACAGGATATTTAAGAATCGCAATATTCATAATATAATTCAATATTTGTGTTCTAAAGAAAAATGTAAATTACACTGCAATAAAATGCTCATCAATGTCCATGAATAAGCAGAAATTAAGTGTTAAAATAAAAACACATTAAAGACTTTAAAAAGAATAACTGCAGAAAAGTATGTAAATGTTAGTTTCAATGTAAGAGACTTCAGCCCGAGTATAAGTAAAAAACCATCTTTTGATCCACCTTCTTAAATACATTGTAATTTAGAAAAATTATGCAATTTGATATAATTATAAAATATCTTTGAGTCTCCTGCTCCAAATTAAATTTTTAAATTGCTACGTCTTTGTATATAGATTCTTTGTGGAACAAAGTTGCCAACAATTCAATTCAATAAAACACATAATATTTACGAAATAAATTAATATTACTACCAAACACAGGAATAAAGAATCCTACAATATAATCCTATATTTTAAATTGAAAACAGCTAAACTAAAAACTGAAAATTCCAAAGTCTTGATTGGAGGCAAAAAACTTACATTTTGTACAAAATCAAGCCTATATTAAATCGGAAATGTTTCCTGATGCCAAAATTGAGGAGTCAAGTTGAATTAAAATCGATATTAGGCTCCGGCAATGTGTTTTTTTTTTTAACAAACACGCGGGTGTAACTTTTTTCATTAAAAACGTGCGGAGACCGTTTAAGCAAAGCGCGTCTCGAGACTAAAACTTTGCTAAATGGATTTCGAGTGAGCGTTTTCTGCTTGAAATTTCGGCAGTCCCATTTTCGTTCCATCGTCGCGCACAGAAGACGTCGCGTCGCTCACTGCGCTGTTGCGCATATTTAACTTATTACAAGTGAGAAGAACATCCGTCTCTGTGCGAGAAAACACTTTCGCCGGAGAGAGAATTCATCGCGCTCGTTTCTCCCTTTTCTTGTGGCAATTACTCTCCCTCGTTGCGGCACTTCTGCTTTCGCCAAAATGCACTCGCGAAAAATTGAAACTTTATCCCCACTTAATAACTTTCAAAGCAGTGGGAATCAAAGAGACTGCGAGATTAATTTCTTACTTGCGTCTTCATGGGGTCCGTGTTGATCTGGCACATGTACTCGCCCGAGTCGCCGCGCTGCACGCCCTGGATGTGCAATTTCCACGTGTTGTGCCCGTTGTGCGTCACCGAGAGTCGGCTGTTGTGCGCCACCATGTGGTTGTGAATGCCCAGGATCGCTTTCGTGTCCGCTTTGATCCACGCAACCTGAAACAAAACAGTTAAAAAATAAGTTGGTGCAAAAAATTTCCACAAAAAAAGACATATTTAAAGATTTTTTAAAAGTTTCCAGGAGGAAAAAGAGACTCTTTTTTTATATAGAAAATTTTCATTTTAATAAATGTGACTGTTTGCCAATTTTATTACAAGCTTCGTAAGAAATTTAGAGCCAATGATTTTTATGATGAATTTATGTGAAATTATTGTTTTGTTTTAAACTAAATTCATTGTCAGTGCCGTCACTGCCGTCGTTATAATAATTTAAAAGGCAAGTTAAATTCGCGCCCATGGCTTTATTTTCTTATACAGAATTTGGAAAATGGCAGGCCAAAAAGTACTGAATAAAATCTGCATTGAAATTGCTTTTGAGATGCTTTAAATCTCAATTTTTCAGGGAACTTCCTAATTGTTAGAGCTAAAATTTTCAAGATTTAAGTCCCCCTTTTTAAATTATAGATGTTCACTAATCTAAATATCATAAAATTGGTCTGGATTTATTTGTTTAATGAAAGTTCATTTGGCTTGAAAGCTTTTACAATTACATAAATTTCACATAAAAATAACTATAAAAACATACATTACTATTCGTAACGCTAAAATTGCATACATTTTTATTTTCTCTCATTATAATTGAATTTGATTTTAATGTCATCGGAATATTTCAATTTTTTATTGTATGAAGTATGTCATAATAAGTTTACATTTATTTAATTAAAAATGATATTGTGATCTCAAAGTTTCTAATAAAAGCATTGGACAAATACTGCTTATAAAGTTCACCTTATTTCAAATGAATTTCAAGATATAAATTGTCATTTGATAGAGTTTGAGAAAAACAAAACAAACGATTTATTTTAAAATTCACCGGCAAATTGGAAACATAATTAACAGCTTATATATTATTATTATTGAATGAGATGTCAGCATTAACGTCAGATCTGTCATTCAAGAGTTTTTGAATATATTTTGTTGATAAGATATGATACAGGCTTTTTTGTACAATAGTCACCAAGCATTTGGTGTCTAATTTTTAAATAATGATATAGTTTTTAATTAATCAACATATAATTAACGCAATCAAGGATCTTTTGACAATATTTTCTAACAAATGGAGCTAACTTTTCCTAAAATATATTTATTTCTATACTTAATATTATAATCATATAATTATGACAAAAAAGATAAAAAGAACTAAAAATCTTCATTATATGAAAATTATGTATTATTTTTTAATAAAATTTAATAAACAAGTTTCAATTATTATAAATCTATTATTATAAAACTTTTTATTTAAACATTTTTGTAAATATTAACAAATGTTAGAATTTTAAATGCACACAAATAGACCTTTGGAAAAGGGGGTTGCGCCGTGAATGTGCTTTTGGAACGCGGCGTTGGTGCGGAATAATTAATAAACGAACGAACAAACACGACGAGACTGCAAAGCGCAATTGGACAAGCCGCTCACGTTCGTCCGACTCTTGGCAAAAAGCGGAGGGCGACGTTCCAGAAATAGAGAAAAGCTTTTCGGGCCGCGCGGCTCCAATTAATATAAAAATAAAACAAAATTGAGACTATATAGAAGGGAGGAACAATGGCGGGCGCGTGCGGCCAAATAATGTAAATTAATTAAAAAGAGCAAAGTGCGGGCGGGCGCGTGTATGTGTGTGTGTGTTGGGGGTGAAAAAACGGCGAATTTCGGACGCGGCCATCCATTGTGCGGCGACGTGCGGCGGCGAATCTGCAGCCGCTGTGGCGCACAGAAAACTTCATTTTCTGGCCCATTTAACGAATTAAGAATGAAATGTCACCCATTACAGGGTGATCCTCGACAGCGGCGACGCCGCAAGCGAGCGGTTTTAATTGCTGTCAGGGGGCGAACGACTATAGGGGTCTGTCTCGCTCTCTGCGAAGACAAACGAACGGCACCACTAATGAAATGACTCGGCGCTATTTGTTTGGCTGCCTCGATGTAAGAAATTCGCTAAATATTGGCACAACTAATACGAGGCGCATCCATAAATGGAAAACGCCCGCTCTTTTATGGCCGAGCAATATTGCTTTCAATGGCAGACGCGCAGCGAGGGGATTAGCTTTTGTTGCGCGATATTAGCCAGATTCGCCTCCAATTCTCAGAAAAAATTTGTTCGGCCGGTGATTTTTATATTCAGGAAAACGGATAAATTGGAAAAAAGAGCCGAAAGATCTGAATATATTGCCTGAATTTTGATGGAATACCTTTATTTTTTTTTTACAAGTGCTTGACTTTTGAGGAAAAGAGTCTCAAAAATATTTATTATTAACAATAATGGAGATAAATATCAGTATTTTAGTTTCCTTATTCGTTCGAATCCTCTAATATCTTGATCATGAATATAGATATAAAGTTTACAAAATTCAAGATTAAAAAATATTTGGATTATTCCTCAAAATAATCTCCTTGGTTTTTTTTTTTAATTTTTGGAAATAAAAATATATTTATAAATCTATGACCTAATTTTTAGATTAAATCAGATTAATTAAAACAGTTATATCGCAATTTCATGTTATTTTGCGTATTTTAGTATTTTTGAAATAATGCTCGATAAAATTTAATTCATTAAAAATAATTATTACATTTCTCACATAGTAAAAATTTGAAAACTGTTTTGAAAATCAATTTATATATAACTCAACGGAAGTGGAAAAAAACTAAAAATTTCTTATGCCTCAATTTGAGTATAAAATCCATCACAGCATAGTCAAGTCGCGTTATTTAAATTTCAAAACTGATGTGTTTTATAACCACAGCAAATTACAAATTAAAAAACCGAGAAATTATTACATCGAACTTGATAAAACACATAATAATTAGCCTGGTTCAAATTTTTGCTCCAAAGAAAATATGAGGCCTGCCGAATCACAAAGAATTTAATTTTTCCGCTCAACGTGTCTCAACACACATCTACACTGTAAATTTTGTAGCAAAATGTTTCATCAAAATTAAACTTTAAAAGCTGTTGTGAAATTTTATATATTACAATTAGCCTGATTTTGTGCTTAAAATGAGATTTAGAAATATATCCACAAAAAGGAAAGATTATATTTGAAAAATTAAACATCTTATTATTTGAAAATGACAAAAAATTACAGTTAATAGGAATAAAAATTCATCAAAATCAGTCGGAACGATTTTTAGCTGATGAGACCGTTTACAAAAATTTGATCTCTTCCAAGTAAAAATAATCAGCAATTTTGCGGCTCTCAAGCATTTCCCAGGTGTCGAGTTGACGACGGCCTGCGTCAGCGTTGGCACAAAAAGTGCAAAAAGTGGCTGAGTCAGTCGGCAGTCCGGACCTGGCCAATATTAACCGCAAGAGCCAGATGTGCGATGCAGCGAGATAAAATTTTACGGCGGCGATGAGTCTGCATCGGCCAATAATGGGGCGAAAAAAAATCACGTCGGGCGATAATGAAAACGACACAGAGACAGACAGAGAAAGGCCGACCATGGGTTTTTCCGAGTACAGATGTGCCGAGCGAGTTGTGTGTGTGCGTCTCCGAGACAGCTTGTAAGCCCCAGGCCAGACCGACTCGGAGGAAAAAGGCGCCTTGGAAGCTGCTGTTGGGAAAGAGCATCCTCATGATGTGCTTGCCATCCATCCATCCATCCACTCGCGAGCGAGCGAGCGACGAGGACACTCACTATATGTACCGAACCGTCTCTCGCTCGCTCTCTCTCCAGCTCGTTCGCATGATGGACTTTTGTTGTTATGATGGAGTTAGTTTTGTTGTTGATGGGTATCAGCAGCATATGCGCGCTCGCTCGGCGGTATTTAACATTCGAAATTGCCTTTTCCGGCAAAACAACCCTTGATAAAAGAATCCCTCCCCGAAAGGTCCCGTCGCTGCCATTTTTCTCCCCGAGCGTGGAATTTAAGACCGCTTTTGACAAAAATATATGCAAGCAGCCTCTCGAGGGGCCTTTTTTTTAAGTTGCAAAAGGAGGACAAAGACTTTCTCAGCAACTACTTTTGCATTATTGTTTTGCAAATATTTTAATATAGTTTTAAATTATAATATTATATTTTTATATTTATTTTAATATTATTCTATTTATATATATATATTTTTTTTTAAATTTCAATTTGGTGAAAAAAAATTTTAAAATATCAGGTGAAAGTCTTTTGTTTATTAATGTTTTACAAATTTTTAATTTTTTTTTTTATGTAAATTCATTTTTGTAGGAAAAAAATTGAAATATGAAGTAAAAGTTTTTTGGTACAATTTACTCTGCTGATAATGTTTCTGATATTCAAATTGACTAAGGTTATTAATTACATATTTTAAGCAGTTCCAAGTCAAATTGCAGGTCTTCATTTGATCGCTTTTGCAGGCTGCTTTTTTATTTAAAAAAGTCAATTTTAAACTTGGTTTATTTCCCTTCAAATGCATGAATTTTTTGACAATATTTTAAATTTTTGATAAAATTGCAGACTTCTTCATTTACTTACATAATCACAGAGATTAATTGAGTCAATCTGTAAAAATTTGGACACAATCTTATTTTTGCTTGATTGTGAGAAAGACCAACAATAAATCCTGTTATAACAAAAGCTCCTTTTTTAGCCCGGAACCTCTGATATTGGCGAGGTCGAAATGAAAAAAGTTTTTCAACTCTTTTTTTTTTTATAGATTCCGAGTTTTGTATGAAAATCGAACTTCAGGTGTGGAACTTCTTTCCCTCGAAGCCCGTTAATGCTATCGCTATTTTACTTCTGGGGGAGCGGCGAGTTCATTAAAGGGGGCCTCTCCAGACTGCGCCGCCGAACAATATTAAAAGCAGCAGCCACGGAAGCTGCGAACCTTATCTGCGAATGTACAGCGGCGAAACGGTGCGAGCGGAGGATCGGACGGATTTAAACTTTTTTCAATTCGAAAAGGTAAATCCCGGCGGCGAATATCGGATCGGCCATCTCGGCCGAGCCATCGATTCTCTTTCAGACTCAAATCATTATTTAGCGCCGTCAAACGGCGAAATTGAATCGCAACCTCTCGTCTCCCTACACTTTTCCGATTTCGGGGCTTCGACTTTTTCCTTTAACAGCTCACTCAATTTCCGGAGCCACTGCAATAACAATACTGAGGATGAGTTGTTTAGCGCGAAACCTTTCCTTTCCTCTCCCTCGTTGTTTTACTTTCCGTCTGTCTTTTTCCCCCGACGCGGGCAATAAAAAAAGTGTTCGTTTTGTTTCGCAAATAGAAACGAGACAATCAAAGCCAACTTGCGTCTCACCTTGTACTGGCCCAGGTGATTGACTACGCAGGTGAAGGAGACCTCTCTGCCCTGCGGCACGGTGTGGTTCTCGAGGGGCGCCAGAAACTCGGGCTCCAATTCTTGCTGGTGCGGGTACTGGCCTGAAAACAAACAGGCAGAATGCAATTTTGAGAGGGAGCTGGTCAAAAGAGAGTAAGACGCACGGGTACGAAAGCAATCAAAGTTTTACTTTGTGGCAAGGGAAATGTTTTCCAAGTGGCTCAAGAGAGGTAGATTTACTAATGTAAAAATAATCTTAAAAAAATTTTAGGCATTTCTACATATTTCATACGTCTAAAGAGGGAAAATTACATTTTCAGATTAAATAATAAATATAATCAGCTTAAAAAGTTAATACTTATTCTTTTACTTAAAAATTTTTATTTTTTTATTTTTTAGATCTTTTAAAGATTTACAGTTTTAGGAATGTAGATATTTATATTTAATAAAATTAATTTGAAAATATTAAATTATTTCACAGACAGAATTGAATGAGCTTGATTATAAAAAATTTCTTTAATAATCAATTGAATTTAAAAAAATTTATGTTGTTCTGAGATCATATTGTGTTAATTATACCCTACATTTCAAATGTATTATCAAGAAGGAAACAACGCTATTGCAAATCAATATTTTATTCGGTAACAATATCAAAGCTACGAAATGTGAATATTCAATGATTTATAAATTCAAATGAAGGAATTTTCAAGCAGCTGGAAATTTGAAAATATCTCTTTAATTAATGTGGAAATTAATTTTTTTTTCAGTTTAGTTCTTAGCACAGGCATCTACACACTAAACTTTTCATAACGTTTAATGTCAATTTAAGGCTAAGCTTCCCCATAATTTTAATTAGGAAAATTGAAAAAAAAAAATGAATTTTAAGACAAATCAATGCTGGGTTATGATTTGTGATTTTCCAATAGAAATGAACCGTACAATTTATAGTTAATACAGAAATCGATTTATCACACTTTATTCTCAATTTTAATTTAAATATCTAAATTTGCTAATTCAGATGCAGCAAAAAACATCATCTTTTTAAAGAAAGACATCGGTTTGGAATAAATAAAACGCGCCGAGACGAAGCGCCGCGTTGCTTAACAAGACTTTCAGACAGATTCAATGCACTACTTTGTTGTTTCGCCCGGCACACTTTTCTTATAATATATTCCATCTGATTTCTCAAGCAGCTCCTTTCCTGATAAATATTGATCGAATTCAACTGACGTTTCCACTCGACTTGTCAGCAGACGAGTCTAATTTGGCTGCACGGATGTGTTTGTTTTTATTCAAGAGCAACGAGAGAGAGCAGCGACGTCGGTGCATCGGCTGTGATTAAACAGCTAATGGAGTGGAACAAGATCTGCCAAAGATAACACACACGCACGCCGACTTATTAGCGCCGGATATCGGATTACACGCCTTCAGTGGCTGCTTTTCCGCCACTAATCTTGTTATTTGCGCGCACTCGTTCGGCTAAAGGGTGCGCCGCCGCCCCGCCGGCAAAAAACCCACGGCTTACGACGACCTAGACGGAAAATCGAAAATCAAATCAAACATCCCGTCGCAATCACTTAACTCGGCCACTTATGGCCTGCTTCAGTTTCATCTTAAACAATGTAACATGGAAAAGTAACAAATACGGTGCAAATTGGGAATAAATAAATAAATTCAAAATATTTTTAACTAACGCAGTGGATGAAAAGATATACGAAAATGATTCTCTGGAATTTTTCCCCTAACTTTAAGGCTCCTGCTTAAGGAGAGTATGTTTAATTTTGTAATAAACTTTAATGAAAAATTAAAAATTTAGCCTATATTTTGTTTACTAAAAGTGGCCACCAGTGCCAAGATTCTCTCCAAAATTGATTCCATTTTTACTCTTTTTTAGACTTTTTGTGAAAGAAATAGTTAAATTGAAAATTGATAATAAAACCTTATTATAATAATTTTGGAGTTTCTAAATTTCTTCTTAAAAAAAGTTTTTTGTTTGCTTGTTAAATGTTTGCCACTAGATAACATGTTCCTAATTCACTCTTCAATAATTGCAAATTTAATCAGATTTTGAAGCAAAATGTATTATATTGATTGATAAATGTTACTTTTGAACATTATTTAGAATGTAAATAATATTGTAGTTTCAGCTTCAATAAAAGTTAAGTGAATGAAAAAAAAACTAGTAAATTCCGGTTTAAATTCCGGAAAATTCAAAAGGAATATTTTAAAAAATTTTTGCAATAGAAATTTAATTTTTTAGACGGAAGTTTTGGTCACAATGTAGCTAATTTTAAAACTGGTTTCACGACTAAAAATTTGTAATTATTTGAAGATTTAAGGCAACTAAATGACGTCTTTTGCCAAAATTTGCAAGTCCGTGACTGGAAATTCTCAAGAATATTATAAATGAAGTTCTTAAGTGTGACAATTTTCCCCGTTTTTCAATGTATTTTTTCTAACACAAAGTTTTCTACTTCTTTGTGCGAAACTAGCCAGAAATCAATAATGCATGGGGAAGTAAGTGCAAAGTGCACTCGTGTCTTTAAGGGCTTGAGTGATGATGAAAACGGTTGCTCTTTATTTGCGGCTATTATTCGTCGTGTGCGCGAGGTACAAGTGCGGCGCGTGCTCGATTGAAAGCGGCGGCTCGGGTCTGAAAACGCGCCGCTCTTGATTAATAGAATTGTGCAGCGAGCGAGTCGCTCTCTCGCTTTTTGCGCTTTTTATTCCGCACTCTCTGCACCGCACGGTTCTCTTTCTCCGGCTGAAATATCGCTCTCGCGAATACAGATTGAGTCGCGAGCGAGCGAGCGAGCCAGCCTCACTCTCCCTCACACACACACATGCTTTTCGCTCTACGAGGCCCAAATCATTCCGACGGCGACGGGCAAGCGCGCGGCCTGCATCCTAATGACCCCCGCAGAGCAGCTGCATATTTGTTGCTCTGCAAAATAACACGCAATTTTCGCGCAAATATGCACAATCGCCGTCGAGCGAATAATGAATGTGTTCTGCTTTCACTGGGTTGGCGCGAAAATCGAAATAATTTGATTATTTTGTATTAGTTTTGTTGAGCAGGCTGGTAAAAAGTTTATTTTTTTCCAAAATAGATGAATTTTTAGGCTCAAATTTAAATTTTCAGATAATATTTATTTATTTATCACTGTCATCAATCATATAATTTCAAAGTAAAATCCTTGAGATGATTTTGATTTCAAATTATTGCAATTCTGGACTCCTTAAATTTATTGGAATCTCAAATTTGGATTGTGTCCGAGGATTAATAATTTTAACTTTTTGTACTAATTTTTAAATTTTAAAGATTTCGCTTTTCTGGTTCTTTACATTTATAACAAGCTGGGCCCGCATCCGGGGGACAAGGAGCAGCCCAATATCCAATCAAATGTAAAACATTTTAAAGCATCAATTATCATTTATTTTTTATTAGAAGAAACTTTTTGTAAAAAATAGTTTGTCATAAACTGGCAGTTTTTAAAGCTGACGACGACGAACCAAGAGCGCACACTCTAAATTTTCAATCCGTGTAAAGTCATTCCTGCTTTAATTTCATCAAAGTAACTTTAGCAAGTTTAAATGTCAAAATTATCTGTTTGGCCGTCATATAACTCTCAGTTAACTTCAAACTTTGAGAATTATTAAAAAATTTTACTAATTGTAATACAGGCTAATCGTACAGACCAATATATGTATGTTAAGTCAAGTATCTTTATTATTTAAATAAAAGCGTACAACATGACAATACTCCAGAGCTGTAGAATTGTTAAGAAATAATAGAAAGTCGTTGTGTACAAACGCACATGACTTTTATTTATTTCAAAAGAAATTGTATTTAAATTAAAAATAAAACTTGGCTACCTGCAAAAAATTTAAAATTAAATATCTATTATTATTTAAAAAAAAAAACCATAAATAAATATTTTATATTTTTATCATTTAAATTTATCTTAAGCGCTTTAATTTTATGATCAGAATTAAATTTAAACTACTTATTTTTAACATGTATTATTTTCATTAAAAAAATTAATTTTTTCCTAAGTACTTAATAAAAAACACCATAAATTGTTCATGTATTTCGTCCACAAACGGGCAAGGTGTCGTTCTCAGTTGAAATGGCGATCATCAAATTGCAAAACAATCACAACGAGAGCGTGTGTGTTCCGCCAATGCATCACACTCTTTCAACTGCGCCGTTTGATAAATTCGAATTTCACAGTTCATTTATCGAGCTAATAAAAAAGCACCGAATCCGTACACAAACGAGAGCAGCACACGCGGGAAATTTAATTACCGGCTGATTTATTTGCAGCGGCGTCGTAAATTATTTGGCAGCGCGCGGGAGAGAGCATTTTTGCCAGATTATTATTGTTGCACTGCACGAGAGGAGGGAAGTGAGTCGGGCACTGGGACGGGTATCAGGTGCGCTATCGCGGGCCAATAAAACGTCGCTGCAAAATGAGTTTTCTTGCAAACTAACTTCTTAAAAGTCGTCGTCTTATTCGCCGCCGCCGCCGCGTCTTCATTTGGCCGCCCTCGTTTTACGAGCAACAATGATGCGCCCTCCGCAGGGGCCATTTTTATATTATGTATTATTTTTTTTTCATCCGGCGGCGCAGTTTGTGATTTGCATGTGAAGCATGGCGCGGCGTGCAGATGGCCTAGCTGCTCTTTCCTTGCGGCTGACACTTTTTGCGCCCGAAGAGAAATTCGCCCGAGCCACCGCGGTGACAGTGAGTGACAAGTCCATGTGCTCGCGGATGCAAATAGCCGAGGCCATTTTTATTGCTCACTTTGTCATCGGAAAAAGAGGAGCGGCAGGCGAGATTAACAAGCGGCACGTTATTTTTCAACCGCAATTAATGCTTCCAAAGAAAGCGCTCTGCTTCCTTAAATGTTTCCGCCGCCGACATGTTCTGCTTGACAAATGAATAAGGAACGACTCGACGTTGATGACATCAACAGTGCCGGTTTCGCCAAAAGTTACATCCCCAAAACGTTTGCATCCTTTTTTCATCAAAATATTTAATGTGTTTTTAGGGAATGAACAAAAATTAAATATGTCACAATGCATCTCATTTGAAGT